TAAATTTGTCATATTTTTCTCTTGCTAACCCATCTTTTGTTATAAGGGTATTGGCTGTGACTCTTGTTACAGGTAGGGAAAAGGTATTATCTTTTTTTTTTTTTTTTGAGACAGAGTTTCACTCTTGTTGCCTAGGCTGGAGTGCAGTGGTGTGATCTCGGCTCACCGCAACCTCCGCCTCCCGGGTTCAAGCAATTTTCCTGCCTCAGTCTCTCAAGTAGGTGGGATTACAGGCATGCACCACCACGCCCTGCTAGTTTTGTATTTTAAGTAGAGATGGGGTTTCTCCATGTTGGGCAGGCTGGTCTTGAACTCCTGACCTCAGGTGATCCGCCCACCTCGGCCTCCCAAAAGTTCTGGGATTACAGGTGTGAACCACTGTGCCCAGCCGGGAAAAGGTATTATCTTTTTGCCCCAATAATTGCAATGCATTGAAACCCATTAAATACGTTTAAGTCCATGAGTTCATAATGGTATTTCTAAAAAAATTAATTAGTTGCCTTTGGAGGTCACCTTTTGGAGCCAATTCATCTTTAAAATTGATAAATAAATCAAGCATTTACCCAGTTTCTCTATGTGAACTATACCATTAGGTAACCAAATAAGGGGAAATGTCCATTTATAAAAGTATTCGAGTAATAAATTAAAAAGAGATGATAAACCTCCATAGTAATGAAATATGATATTAGGGTAAACAGAAACTGGGTGAGGACTATGTGGAAACTATACTATCTTTGCAACTTTTCTGTAAATCTAAAATTATCCCAAAATAAAGTTTACTTAAAAAAAGGCTAGGATGGCTATTAAACAAAAGAACATAATAGTAAGTGCTAGCAAAGACATGGAGACACTGAAACCCTCACACTCAGCTAGTGGGAATGTAAAATGGTACAAACACTATGGAAAACAATCTGGCAGTTCTTCAAAGACTAAACATAGTTACCATATGACCCACAATTCTAACTCCTAAGTATATACCCAAAAGAAATGAAAACATGACCCAGCCATCCCATTACTGGGTATATACCCAAAGGATTATAAATCATGCTGCTATAAAGACACACGCACACGTATGTTTATTGTGGCACTATTCACAATAGCAAAGACTTGGAATCAACCCAAATGTCCATCAGTGACAGACTGGATTAAGAAAATGTGGCACATATACACCATGGAATACTATGCAGCCATAAAAAAGGATGAGTTTGTGTCCTTTGTAGGGACATGGATGCAGCTGGAAACCATCATTCTCAGCAAATTATCGCAAGAACAGAAAGCCAAACACTGCATGTTCTCACTCATAGGTGGGAATTGAACAATGAGATCACTTGGACTCTGGAAGGGGAACATCACACACCAGGGCCTATTATGGGGATGGGGGATGGGGGAGGGATGGCATTGGGAGTTATACCTGATGTAAATGACGAGTTGATGGGTGCAGCACACCAACGTGGCACAAGTATACATATGTAACAAACCTGCACATTGTGCACATGTACCCTGGAACTTAAAGTATAATAAAAAAAAAAAAAAAGAAAACATATGTCCATACAAAAACAAGTACACAAACGCTCATAGCAGCATTACCCATAATAGCTAAAAAGTAAAAACAACCCAAATGTCCATCAACTGATGAATGGGTAAATAAAAAGAGCTCTAACCATTCAGTGGAATATTATTCAGCCATAAAAAGAAATAAAGTGGGCTGGGCGTGGTGGCTCACGCCTGTAATCCCAGCACTTTGGGAGGCCGAGGCGGGCAGGTCACAAGGTCAGGAGATGAAGACCATCCTGGCTAACATGGTGAAACCCCGTCTCCACTAAAAATACAAAAAGTTAACCAGGCGTGGTGGCGGGCACCTGTAGTCCCAGCTACTTGGGAGGCTGAGGCAGGAGAATGGTGTGAACCCGGGAGGCGGAGGTTGCAGTGAGCTGAGATCACGCCACTGCACTCCAGCCTGGGCGACGGAGCGAGACTCCTTCTCTAAAAAAAGAAAAAAAAAAAAGAAACAAAGTGCTGGCTGGGCACAGTGGCTCAGGCCTGTAATCCCAGCATTTTGGGAGGCCGAGGTGAGCAGATCACTTGAGGTCAGGAGATCGAGACCAAATGGCAAAACCCCATCTCTGTTTTAAAAAAAAAAAAAGAAATGAAGTACTAATACATGCTATGTTAAGTGAAAAAAGCTAGTCCCAAAGGACCATATATTATATAACTCTACTTATATGAAATGTCCAGAATAGGCAAATCCATAGAGAATGAAAGCAGATAGGAGTTTATCTAGGCCTGGAAGGGTTGGGAGGAAATGGAGAGTTAAAATGGGTATAGGGTTTCGTTTTGGGGTGATAAATATGTTCCAAAATTACTATGGTTATGGTTGTACAACTCTGCGAATATACTGTAAAACACTTAATTGTACATTTTAAATGGGTAACTTGTATGATATATGAATCATATCTCAAAAAAGCCTAGATTAAACTAAATGGATGCACATTTGGGTGATAAAACTATCTTTAAAATGCAAGGAAATGGCCAGGCCTGGTGGCTCACACCTGTAATCCCAGCACTTTGGGAGGCTGAGGCAGGAGGACCACTTGAGGGCAGGAGTTCGAGACAAGCCTGAACAACACAGCGAGACCTGTCTCTATTATTTTAAAAAATGCAAGGAAATGATTGCAATAAAAATCAGTATCATGGTTGCTTTGTGGGGAAAGGAGCATGTTACAACTGCAGTAGGGCACACAAAGGGTTTTCTGGGGTAGTGGGCAAAATCCTATTTTTTGATCAGGTGGTGGAGCTATCCATTTGTTACGTGAGATATTCTGTGTCTGTGTTTTCTTTTACAATAAAAAAGTTATCAAAACAGACTCACAAGCAAATTTGTTTCAAACATAATGTGAATTCTCCTAGAATCCAATCTTACTATGGGCCAGGCACCAAGTTTGGTTATGTATAATATAAGAGATTATGCCTATCCTCAAGGAACTTAACTTTTAGTGAGAGGTTAAAAAGAAAAAAAAAAAAAAAAAAAAGAGCTAGAGAAAGAACTAGCCCATGTTAAATATTAACTGACACAAAATTTACAGACAATGTACTAAAAGATGTAGAATAGGATTGGGGGGCTAGGGAGTATATCAGAAAAGGAATTTAAGCTACATCATGAAAAGAGGGTAAAAATGAGACAGAGAGATCTTTTTTTTTTTTTTTTTTGAGACGGAGTCTCGCTCTGTCGCCCAGGCTGGAGTGCTGTGGCCGGATCTCAGCTCACTGCAAGCTCCGCCTCCTGGGTTCACGCCATTCTCTTGCCTCAGTCTCCCGAGTAGCTGGGACTACAGGCGCCCGCCACCTCGCCCGGCTACTTTTTTGTATTTTTTTTTAGTAGAGACGGGGTTTCACCATGTTAGCCAGGATGGTCTCGATCTCCTGACCTCGTGATCCGCCCGTCTTGGCCTCCCAAAGTGCTGGGATTACAGGCTTGAGCCACCGCACCCGGCGAGACAGAGAGATCTTATGCAGGCTACATTATGCCCAGAGGCAAAAAAGAAATGAAGAAAAAATATTTTAGGACTTTGAGTAAGAGTAGATAATATTTATTGAGCATGTATCAAATCATTTAATCCTCACCACAAACCTACGAAGTGAGTCCTATTATAATTTCCATTTTATAGATGAAGTAACTGCGGTACAGAGACAGTCTGTACAGGGCATCAATGGTAGGTACAGTTGAAAAGGTACCCAGGGGAATGGACTGTGAATCCAGATCACCTGGGTTAGAATTCTGGTTCAGTTCTGCTATTAAGCAGCTATGTGATTTCAGGCAAATTACTTTACCTCTGTGCCTTAGTGTTCTACTATTTAAAATGAGAATGCTAATAGTAGCAACTTCATCACAGGGTTGTTGTAAAGATTAAATTATTTGATGTATATAAAGCATTTAGAACAGTTTCTGGCAAAAAGTAAGTACTCATTAATATTACATATTATTATAATAACAGAATAATAATTTCTAGGAAAAGCACATGAGAATTATCCTCCTCCATGTATTCCATTAAATCAGGTATTAAATTACATACTTCTATCTCTTTATGTTCAAGATTGATTATTTATATTTTAGGCTGCTGTTTTATGTTAGACCGAGATCATGCTACTTTTGAGGCAATTCTCCTGTTTCAGCCTCCCAAGTAGCTGGGACTACAGGCACACGCCACCACACCTGGTTAATTTTTGCACCTAAAACAGTAGAATTTAAAATTATTTGCCAGTCTTCACAAAGAGGGTACCATTTTTCCAGGAAATGGGAAACTCGGCAGTTCCTACTGCAACACTGGCAGAGTAAGATAAATGATTTCAAATATTTGCAGAATGTCGAGGCTAAAGATAAACAGAAGAGGGAACTCTGCTGAGGGCATGGCACAGCTTAAAGCAAATATAGATACACTCTGAGGGATGTCTGCATAGGTCTTCTGGGGCTGTGTTCATTCAACCCGTGAGAGCTGAGAGAGCGCAGCAGTAGCAGTAGCCAGCAATGCAGGTACCTAAAGAATCTGTTATGTTATCTTTAAAGGTGTCCCTCTTCTTAGCCCCAACCTAGATGCAGAGGGCAGAGTGTGTCAGTATTAGGGTGACAGATATACAAGAATATACCAAGGGATAAAAGAGATACCTAGGAGGCTGGGCACGGTGACTCACGCCTGTAATCCTAGCACTTTGGGAGGCCGGGGCGGGTAGATCACCTGAGGTCAGTAGTTCGAAATCAGCCTGACCAATATTGTGAAACCCCGTCTCTACTAAAAATACAAAAGGAGTGATGGTGTGCGCCTGTAGTCCCAGCTACTCGGGAGGCTGAAATAGGAGAATTGCTTGAACCTGGGAGGCGGAGGTTGCAGTCAGCTGAGATTGTACCACTGCGCTCCAGCCTGGGCGACAGAGCAACACTCTGTCTCAAAAAACAAAAAAAAGAAAGATACCTAAGAAAGGCTGACAGGACCCCAAAATATACATACTTTCCATAAGAAGTATCTTTTAATACTAATTCTGGAGCTCTATACCAGCGTGTGGCCACATAGTCCGTATAAATGTCCCCAGGAGCTGCTAGTGTTCGTGCAAAACCAAAATCACAGAGCTTAGTAATTCCTGACTGGGATACTAAAATATTCTCAGGTTTTATATCGCGATGAATGATCTAAAAACAAACAGAATACAAAATACATTAAAATGAGATTTCATTATCCAGAACCTCTCAAAAATGATACTAAGAAAATCTAGCTAATTAAGATAGTAAAGCTATTTCCTTACCACATGCAAAGGATTAATTACACAATGCAAATATAGTTATATGTTTTCAATTCTTGCTCCATCCACCACCTCAAAATAAAATGAAGCTAAAAAAACAGACATAATACTAAAAAGGCAAATCACATTCGTGTAAGAAAAACCAAAAGAACTTAATGAGGCTGGGAGTGGTGGTTCATGCCTGTAAACCTAGTACCTTGGGAGGCCAAGGCAGGAGGATCACTTGAGGCCAGGAGTTTGAGACCAGCCTGTGTAACAGAGTGAGACCCTGTCCCAAAAAAAAAAAGAAAGAAAGAAAGGAAAAGAACTTATTGAAATTTTACTTTCCTTTAACTCTATGTCCTACTCCAGTTCCGGCCCTTTCATGTCCTTCACAGCTAAACCTCTTGAAGACATTATCTGTACTCACAGTCTTCACTTTCTGACCCAGTCACTCAAGATAATTAACCTTCTCTTTTGCTCCTACATTGCATTAAACTTCTCTAGCCATAGGAAAAAAGTCATCTACATTTTTCCTACATCCAATAGCCATCTCTCCGCCCATATTTACTTGGTTTCTTAGCGTAAAAACAATGCCAACTGTTCCTCCATTCCTGGTTTCTCGGACCTAAAATGTTCCCAATCTCCTCCTATCTACCTGGCAGCGACTCTTTCTCTGTCTGTTTCTAAAACATAGGGTCCTTGTCTTAGGCTTTCCTCTCTTCATATATTGATATATATTGACCGGGAAACTCAAGTTTCCCGGTCAATCTCACGTACTCTCTTTTTTGGGGGGTGTGGGAGCCACTTTTGTCACTTGGTTATAGGGACAACACTCTTGGGCTTCTCCCCACCTACTGGCTGCTCCATCTCAATCTGATCAACTCTTTTTAAGAAATTATTTTTTAAAGAGATAGGGTCTTGCTCCATTGCCCAGACTAGAGTGCAAAGGCACAATCGAAGCTCACTGCAGCCTCAAACTCCTGGGCTCAAGCAAGGAGCCTACCACCTGAGACAATCCTACCACCTCAACCTCCTGAGTAGCTAGGACAAGCGCATGCCTGTAGTCCTACAGCCTACAGTATTAGGACTACTGGCTAATTAAACATTTTTTTCGTAGAGACAGGGTCTGGTTATGTTGCCCAGGCGGATCATGAGTGCTGGGCTGAAGCGATCTTCCCGCCTCAGCCTTCCAAAGCACTAGGATTGTAGGTGTGAGCCACCACACCCAGCCTGAATTACTTTTTCACATTTTGTTAATTTTAATTGATAAATTAAAATTGTATATATTATGTACATGTTGTTTTGAAATATGTATACATTGTAAAATTAGCTAAATCAAGCTAATTAACATTACCTCACATACTTATTTTTTTGGGGTGAGAACACTTAAATTCTACTCTCAGCAATTTTCAAGAATACAATCATTGTTATTAACTAGCTACCATTTTGTATAACAGATCTCTTGAACTTACTCCTTCTTTCTGACTGAATTTTCATATCTCTTGACCAATATCTCCCCAACCACCTCCACTCTAGCCCGTGGTAACTACCATTCTACGCTCTACTTCTATGAGTTGCACTTTTATAGATTCTGTATGTAATTGAGATCACGCGGTATTTGTCCTGTGCGTGACTTATTTCACTTACCATAACGTCCTCCAGGTTCATCCACATCATCACAAATGACAGGATTTCCTTCTATTTTTACAGCTGAATAGTGCTCCATCGTGTATACATACCGCATTTTCTTTATGCATTCATCCTTAATGGACACTTAGGTTGATTTTTTTTTCCTTTCTTTTTTTTTTTAGACGGAGTCTTGCTCTGTGACCCAGGCTAGAGTGCACTGGCATGATCTTGGCTCACTGCAACCTCTGCCTCCTGGGTTCAAGCAATTCTCCTGCCTCAGCCTCCTATGTAGCTAGGATTACGGGGACACGCCACCACGCCTGGCTACTTTTTGTATTTTTAGTGGAGATGGGGTTTCACCAGGTTATCCAGGCTGGTCTCAAACTCCTCATCTCAAGTGATTTGCCTGCCTCAGCCTCCCAAAATGCTGGGATTACAGCTGTGAGCCACTGCACCCAGCCTCCTTTGCCCATTTTTTATTTTTATTTTTTAAAGACACAGGGTTTCACCATGTTGCCTGGGCTGGTCTTGAACTCCTGGACTCAAACTATCCTCCCACCTTGGCCTCTCAAAGTGCTGGGATTATAGGCATGTGCCACTGCACCTGGTCCTTTGCCCAATTTTTAATCAGGTTATTTGTTTTCTTACTATTGATTTATCTGAGTTCCTTACATATTCCAGATATTAACCTCTTATTAGATGTATGGTTTGCAAGTATTTTCTCTAATTCTGTGGGTTCTCTCTTCTCTCTATTGATTGTTTCCTTGGATATGCATACTTTTTTGTTTGATGTAATCCCATTTGTCCATGTTTGCTTCTGTTGTCTGTGCTTTTGGGTTCATATCCACAAAATCATTACCCAGATCCAATGTCATAGAACTTTTCCCAAGTTTTCTTCTAGTAGTTTTACAGTTTCAGATCTTACATTTAAATCTTTAATCTATTTTTAGTTTACATTTGTATAAGATTAATCTACTCTTATAGCTTTAGTAACTGTCCATATACTACTGATAATTTCAACATTTCTATGTCTAACAGATATTTCTCCTGGTTTCCACAAGAAGTGAAAGTCCACAATAAATCCCACAAACTAGGTACAGGTCCTTTAAATTCAGCAAATCTAAAACTAAACACATCTTCTCCCCCAAACCTACTGGTTCTCAACAATCTGCTATTACAGTGAATGGAACCACAACTTACTCCATAAATCAAACCAGAAACCAAGGGCATTTTTCTCCCTCCCCACACTCCCTTAACCTATCTACTGCTCTTCCTAGTTCAGGTCTCCTCAGCTGTCTCACAAAATTAATACACAAGTCTATCAGTTGGTCTCCCTGAATTCACATTCGTGCTCTCCAATTCAGTCTCCACAATGAAGTCACAGAACTATTTTAAAATCAGATGTGTGATCATGTCACTTTTTTTTTTGAGACGGAGTCTCGCTTTGTCACCAGGCTGGAGTGCAGTGGCACAATCTTGCCTCACTGTAACCTCCGGCTCCCGGGTTCAAGCTATTCTCCTGCCTCAGTCTCCTGAGTAGCTAGGACTACAGGACAACAGGCACGCACCACAATGCCCAGTTAATTTTTGTATTTTTAGTAAAGATGGGGTTTCACCATGTTGGCCAGAACGGTCTCGATCTCCTGACCTAGTGATCCGCCCGCCTCGGCCTCCCAAAGTGCTGGGATTACAGGCATGAGCCACCGTGCTAGGCCTGACCATGTCACTTCTCTGCTTCAAGGATTCCTCATCCTGCAGGATAAATTTAAAACTCCCTAAAATGGCTTATAAGGCCTTGTGAGATTTGGCCCCTACTTATCCTCTTAACCTCCTTTCCCTAGCCTATAGAGTATTAGTTTCCCAATTTGCCAGGGTTTGTCTAATCTCTGTGCATTTGTTGATGCTACTCCAACTACTTGGCCAAGTCAGCTATTTCCTCAGGACTCAGCTTGTATGTTAGTATTAGATGCTCCTTCTATATGTTCACATCAATCTGCACTTTCCCCTTCATAGCATCTGTCATGCAGTACTGTTAACTGCCTGTTTACTTGTCTGAAACCCCCACTAAACCATAAGCTCCGTGAGGGCAAGATGCACATCTGTCTTGTTCAATTAATACGTGTTCAGTACAGTGCCTAGAACAAAGAAGGCATTTACAAATTTTATCAAAAGAATTACAGAAGCACATACTCATCACCTGTAAAGTATCATAGCAGAAGTAGAAATGTCTCAGTGACAGAAATCTGGGATCTTTCCTTGTTTATACAACTTACTACCATAAATCTTTGAGACTGGCTCTTGTTCTGACTCAATCTCCCTCCATAAATAGCCAAAAAATTAATTTAGGGTAAGCCTTTCTAATTGAGCCACTTTAAAGTTGTCATCTGCCAAAATATATAAATCCTTTTTTACTACCACAATTTTCTTTTTTTTTTTTTTTTTTGAGACTGAGTCTGGCTCTGTCGCCCAGGCTGGAGTGCAGTGGCCGGATCTCAGCTCACTGCAAGCTCCGCCTCCCGGGTTTACGCCATTCTCCTGCCTCAGCCTCCGGAGTAGCTGGGACCACAGGCGCCCGCCACCTCGCCCGGCTAGTTTTTTGTATTTTTTAGTAGAGACGGGGTTTCACCGTGTTAGCCAGGATGGTCTCGATCTCCTGACCTTGTGATCCGCCCGTCTCGGCCTCCCAAAGTGCTGGGATTACAGGCTTGAGCCACCGCGCCCGGCACTACCACAATTTTCATTGAGTGCCTACTATATGCCAGGCACTATTCCAAGACCTAAGGATATAATGTGAACAAAAACAGACATTAAAAAGCACATTAAGATACCGCTTCAGGGGCCGGGCATGGTGGCTCACGCCTGTAATCCCAGCACTTTGGGAGGCCGATGCAGGTGGATCATGAGGTCAGGAGATCAAGACCATCCTGGCCAACATGGTGAAACCCCGTGTCTACTAAAAGTACAAAAATTAGCCGGGCATGGTGGCATGTGCCTGTAGTCCCAGCTACTCAGGAGGTTGAGGCAGGAGAATTGCCTGAACCCGGGAGGCGGAGGTTGCAGTGAGCTGAGATTGTGCCATTGCACTCCAGCCTGGGTGACAGAAGGAGACTCTGTCTCAAAAAAAAAAAAAAAAAGTCTTTCTCTGATGTACAAAACGAAAACAGCAAAAAAATTTTTTAATTAATAAATGTCACCGGGTGCAGTGGCTTCACACCTATAATCCCAACACTTTGGGAGGCTGAGGCAGGCAGATCACCTGAAGTCAGGAGTTTGAGACCAACCTGACCAACATGGAGAAATCCCATCTCTACTAAAACTATGAAATCAGCTGGGCCGTGGTGGCACATGCCTGTAATCTCAGCTACTCAGAAGCTGAGGCAGGAGAATTGCTCGAACCCAGGAGGTGGAGGTTGCAGTGAGCTGAGATTGCGCCATTGCACTCTAGCCTGGACAACAAGAGTGAAACTACATCTCAAAAAAAAAAAAAAAAAAAATCATCATCTGAAATTTGGAAATATTAAGAAAAGAAAGTTTTAGCAGGGCTTGGGGGCATGCACCAGTACTCCCAGCTACTCGGGAGCCTTAGTTGGGAGGATTACTTGAACCCAAGAGTTCAAGGCTACAGTGAGCTATGATTGTACCACTGTACTCCAGCCTGGGCAACAGACTGAAACCTCATCTCTTAAAAAATATCTATATACACCAGGCATAGTGGCTCATGCCTGTAATCCCAGCACTTTGGGAGGCCGAGGTGGGAGGATCACTTGAGGTCAGGAGTTCAAGACCACCTGGCCAAAATGGTGAAACCTCATCTCTACTAAAAATACAAAAATTAGCCGGATGTGGTGGCGCACGCCTGTAGTCCCAGTTACTCGGCATGCTGAGGTAGGAGAATCGCTTGAACCCGGGAGGCAAAGGATGCAGTGAGCCAAGATCGCGCCACTGCACTCCAGTCTGGGTGACAGAGTGAGATTCCATCTCAAAAATAAATAAATAAATAAAAATAAATAATATCTAGTCTAAAGAGCCACTTCACTCATGGCTGCCTTAATTCTCAAAGGTAATTAGCCTTACAAAATTCTGTGAGGTAAGGGACAGGGATAATTTTACTCCAGGTTCCAGATAAGAACAAGAGAATAAAAGAATGTGGGTACTTCTGTCTAGGCCTCCTTCTCTGCTGTTCTCCAACACTCCACAGATCTCTTCCATGCTTGGTGATGAGAACTACCTCTTATTTTTTCCTTCCATTTCTGGGAGAATGATCTATTCTTTTTTTTTTTTTTTTTTGAGACGGAGTCTCGCTCTGTAGCCCAGGCTGGAGTGCAGTGGCCGGATCTCAGCTCACTGCAAGCTCCGCCTCCCGGGTTCACGCCATTCTCCGGCCTCAGCCTCCAGAGTAGCTGGGACTACAGGCGCCCGCCACCTCGCCCGGCTAGTTTTTTGTATTTCTTTAGTAGAGACGGGGTTTCACCGTGTTCGCCAGGATGGTCTCGATCTCCTGACCTCATGATCCGCCCGTCTCGGCCTCCCAAAGTGCTGGGATTACAGGCTTGAGCCACCGCGCCCGGCCGAGAATGATCTATTCTTACCTCTTCAACCACAGTCTCTAAGAGGAAGATTCTCAAATCTGTATATTCAGTTCTGAAAACTTCCAAAGTCATGATATAATTGGTTAGCCACTATTTTTACTTAGAAATTCTCACTATCCCTTAAAATCCATCAATATATCTTAATGCAATTCCCACTTCTAAATTCAGTTATTGACAATGGCACTTCTGCTCTCCAATTAAAAATACAGTAATACTACTAAAAATACAAAAATTGTCCAGGCGTGGTGGCTCATGCCTGTAATCCCAGCACTTTGGGAGGCTAAGGCAGGCGGATCATGAGGTCAGGAGTTCGAGATCAGCCTGACCAACATGGTGAAACTCCGTCTCTACTAAAAATACAAAAATTAGCCGGGCATGGTGGCACGCACCTGTAATCCCAGTTACTCGGGAGGCTGAGGCAGGAGAATCGCTTGAATCCAAGAGGCAGAGGTTGCAGTGAGATCACGCCATTGCACTCCAGCCTGGGCGACAGAGCAAGACTCTGTCTCAAACTGAACTGAACTAAACTAAACTAAACTAAAAATACAAAAATTAGCTGGGCCTAGTGGCAGGAACCTGTAATCCCAGCTACTCGGGAGGCTGAAACTGGAAGAAATGCTTGAACCCAGAAGGCAGAAGTTGCAGTGAGCCGAGATCCTGCCATTGTACTCCAGCCTGGGCAACAGAGACAGACTCCGTCTCGAAAAAAATACTGTAATAACCTCTGATTTCACCCTTTGTTTTCATCTCTCTCATACCTAATTAGTTCCCAAGTCCTGTGATTTTCCTTTTGAAGTATTTCCATCCTATCCCTCTGCCATCCTTCCTCTCCTTCCCATTGCTACTTAGTCCAAACCGTTACCACCCACACATCTAGACTGTCACAACAGTTTCCCGCCTGATCTCTCTGGGTCTCTATCTACTCATATCTTCTACTCTTGTTAAAATAAAATTAGATTTTGTTTTCATCTAGTCACAGCAATGCTCAAGAACCTTCAATGGGCTGGGTGGGGTGGCATGTGCCTGTAATCCTAGTAACTTGGGAGGCTGAGGCAGGAGGATCGCTTGAGCCCAGAAGTTGGAGGCCACAGTGAGCTATGATCATGCTATTGCACTCCCATCTGGGCAACAAAGCAAGATCCTGTCTCAAGAAAAACAAACAAAAAACAACAAAATCTGCAATAGTTGCCCAGGATCCTCAGGAAAGAGTCCACCCTCCTGTGGATAAATTTCAAGGTTCTAGAAAATCTCTCCCCTGGGAACCTGTGTAATCTTATCTTCCTCTACCTGTTGTTCCCTGTAACCTGACTTAACAGCACTCTCTACAGTCCCCCACTCCGGTCTACTTCTATTTTCACAATGGAACCCCACCTGAATGCATTTTCTTCTCTATTCCAACAAAATCCTAACTACAGTTCAAAATTCTACTTATTTCAGTTTTACATCATCTTGGAAGTTTTCTACTGTCAGTTTAGCCCAGACCGATATCTCCTTTTATTCAAGAAACATTTTTAGAGTCTAATATAGACAAGGCTCTAAAAAGATACAAAGATAACACAACTATTCTTGACTCCCTACCAGCTTTCTTTTCTTTTCCTTCTTTTGTTTTCCTTTTCTTTCCTTAACACAACTATTAATTCTCCTGACTCCAAACCAGCTTGCTATATTTATTTATTTAACTTACTTACTTACAGGATCTTGCTCTGTCAACCAGGATGGAGTGGTATGATCATAGCTCACTGCTATGCAGCCTTGACCTCCCAGGCTCAAACAATCCTCCCACCTCAGCCTCACAAGTAGCTGGGAGTACAGTATTGTGCCACGATGCCTGATGCCCAGCTAATTTATTTTTTATTTTTAGTAGAGACGATGTCTTGCTATGTTGCCCAGGCTGGGCTTGAACTTTTGAGCTCAAGTGATCCCCCTGCCTCAGCCTCTCAAAATACTGAGATTAGAGGTGTGAGCTACTATGGCCAGCCTACCAGAACTATCTGTTGAGCATTTAAAATGGGCCTGACACAGTTTAAATGCTTTATACCTAGTACCTAATTTGATCTTTTAAAAAATCTGTGCCAGGTGCAGTAGCTCACACCTGTAGTCCAGCATTTCGGGAGGCTGAGGCGGGCAGATCACTTGAGCCCAGGAGTTTGAGACCAGCCTGGGTAACATGGTGAAATTCCATCTCTACAAAAAATTAGCCAGGTGTGGTGGTTGATAGAGGAGGAGCACCATCATCTCGGACAAACACCGAGATGTTTTAAGGAGAGACGGGAGAATTGCTTGAACCCGGGAGGCAGAGGTTGTGGTGAGCCGAAATCGCACCATTGTACTCCAGCCTGGGCAATAAAAACAAAACATCTCAAAAACAAAACAAACAAAAAACCTGCTGAGCTAAAAGCTTACAAGCCAATGCTAAAGTCAACACTAAAAATCAAAATAGCTGTGATCTTTCCTCTTCCTTGATTTTTCATAGGTTAAATGACAAGGCCTCACACAGCTCAGCCACTTTATATCTCCTTTCTTCCCCTAAAGGCTTCCACATTTACTTGCTATTCCCCTGGCCTAATTTCCAGTTCCCAACACTAAACTTGCCTTTTTTTTTTTTTTTTTTTTTGAGGCGGAGTCTCGCTAAACCTCCCTTTATATGAGCAACTCTCCATTAAGCCACAGACCTGACTTCCAACGTTTTAATACTTTCTCTAATAATAGTGCCCCAGCTGACTACTGATTCTACTAAACATAATTATTGATACTGCCTTTACTATCCCATACTTGGTCTGCCTTACAGTTGGAATTACTGAGTGCTCAATATTTTTTGGTTCTACAACCAAAAGGTAGTGCTCCCTATTCCCTATCCCCATTTTCAGGATGTCTATTATTATTGTATAAAAAAATACTGTTAGCCACCTTCATAAAAATAAAACAATGTATAAGGAGCACTTATGATTCATATTCATCCTACAAATTGGCTTATTCTGAAGCACTTACATTATTACTGTGAAGATAGTCAATTGCTCGAAGGATCTGGAAGAGGTATTTTCTAAGTCGTTTACTCTCTAGTCCATGACAATAATGTTGTAACTCATCTAATACTGTGTGGTCAATAAATTCAAATACCAAATGAATTTTCTTTTTCTGTCTAAAAACTTCAATCAGATTGACCAGGTTTTCATGATGAAATTGCTATTGACAAAAGAAACAACACAAATTTTTAATTATTTCAAGTTTAACAATTTGTACATATAACATGTATAAATTTTGAAAAGAAACAGGAATATTCTTAGCTTTGTTCCATACATTTCTTTATCCTTTTCTTTTTTTTTTTTTTGAGATGGAGTCTTGCTTTGTCGCCAGGCTGGAGTGCAGTGGCACAATCTTGGCTCAGTGCAACCTCCGCCATCCCATTTCAAGCAATCCTCCTGCCTCAGCCTCCCGAACAGCTGGGATTACAAGCGTGCACCACCATGCCCAGCTCATTTTTGTGCTTTTAGTAGAAACAGGGTTTCACCATGTCGGCCAGGCTGGTCTCGAACTCCTGACCTCAACACAGGAGGTCCTGCCTCAGCCTCCTAAACTCCTGGAATTGTAGGTGTGCGCCATCATGCCCAGCCTATGTTCCATGCATTTCAACTGAAATTTCTCAACCAATGTGCTTCCAATCCTATTTTAAGAAAATTTTAATCCATTTTATAATCAATATTTACAGGACAAAGTGAGATATATTACTTTATCTCAAGTTGGCATTTGGTTGCTTATTAAAATAATTTAGGCCGGGCGCGGTGGCTCAAGCCTGTAATCCCAGCACTTTGGGAGGCCGAGACGGGCGGATCACGAGGTCAGGAGATTGAGACCATCCTGGCTAACACGGTGAAACCCCGTCTCTACTACAAAAATACAAAAAAACTAGCCGGGCGAGGTGGCAGGCGCCTGTAGTCCCAGCTACTCGGGAGGCTGAGGCAGGAGAATGGCGTGAACCCGGGAGGCGGAGCTTGCAGTGAGCTGAGATCCGGCCACTGCACTCCAGCCTGGGCCACAGAGCGAGACTCCGTCTCAAAAAACAAAAAATAAAATAATAATAATAATAATAATAATAATAATAATTTAATGTACTATAACAGTATTCTCTTGAGAGACATCCTGCTATTTTTAAACTTGGTTTGTGGTTAAATTTAAGACCCAAAATTTAAAAGGCCCTTATGTTTTCAAATGAGCATGGATTTCAACACGATTAAGTATGTGACCTGAATTTATATAAATTAATTAATCTCTAATTTTAATCCTAAACTCTAGAAAGTAAACCATAAGTTCTAGGGGGCATCATAAATTCATTAGACCATAACAAAAGAACATCAAAATATATACGAAATCTTCAGATATGTGAACTACCAATTTATAACCACAGAAACTTTACATAAATATATAATTATTTGTGGGTAAACGATTTTTCGTTGTCTTTACTCTTCTATTAAACAACTAACCACCTTTTTAGACTGGTAACAATTATTGCTAAAATAATTTTAAAATGTAAATTATGCCCACGTATCAGCTTAGGAAACAAATGAGATTTAATATTGTATGCTACTTATTCTATTTTTCATCACAGTGACTTAATTATAATCAATTCTGAAATATGTAACCATTTTGTTCAAACTATCAAGAATATGTGTTCATTTAGCTAAGAATGAAGGGTTTTTTTTTTTTTTTTTTTTTTTTTAAGAGAAAGAATCTTGCTATATTGCCAGGCTGGTCTTGAACTCCTGGCCTCAAGTGATCTTCCTGCCTCAGCTTCCCAAGTTGCTAGGACTACATGCATGAGCCACTGTTCCTAGCTCTAGAAAACTATACCTTTATGAAAATATATTTGCCTTTATTCCAAAAATGCAATGTCAATTTTTCTACTTCTCTGTAACTAATGAACAGACTAAAGTCCTTAAAACATGACTAGAGAGGCCGGGCGCGGTGGCTCAAGCCTGTAATCCCAGCACTTTGGGAGGCCGAGACGGGTGGATCACGAGGTCAGGAGATCGAGACCATCCTGGCTAACACGGTGAAACCCCGTCTCTACTAAAAAATACAAAAAACTAGCCAGGCGAGGTGGCGGACGCCTGTAGTCCCAGCTACTCGGGAGGCTGAGGCAGGAGAATGGCGTGAACCCGGGAGGCGGAGCTTGCAGTGAGCTGAGATCCAGCCACTGCACTCCAGGCTGGGCGACAGAGCAAGACTCCGTCTCAAAAAAAAAAAAAAAACATGACTAGAGAAAAACATCCAAAATATAACGCCAGATTCCTTTCCTTTTTGCTCCAAATTTCCCTGGTTGGCAAGATGCCAGAGTGCTGCAGCAATAGCACACTGGCAGCGGTGAAAAGAATTGACTGCTGGCTGGGCATGGTGGTGCACACCTATAATCCCAGGACTTTGGGAGGCTGAGACGAGCAAATCACGTGAGATCAGGAGTTCGAGACCAGCCTGGGCAACATGGTGAAACTCCCTCTCTACTAAAATTACAAAAATTAGCTGGGCGTGGTGGTGGGCACCTGCAATCCCAGCTACTAGAGAGATTAAGAGAGGAAAATCGCTTGAACCCAGGAGGTGGAGGTTGCAGTAAGCCGAGATTGTGCCATCACACTCCAGCCTGGGCGACAAGAGTGAAACTCCGTTTCAAACAAAACAAGAACTGACTGCTTTTGGACACTACAATATTAATCCTCTACTTAAGGAAAATTACTGGTTTCCTGTCCAGTCTTTATTTTAAAGGCAAAAGCAGTGAAAGTAGGGAAAGGGTAATATGAATAAGCATTGTAGAAGATCCATTCAGGGATGAGGGATTAGGTACAGTACTTACTCAGATAAACTGTGAAATGAAATTCCTAGAAATGCTCTAGTACCCCTCTTCAAGTTGTTTTTCTCCATTACTAGACAACTTTTCTACAGATATTCTCACTAATTACCCAAACTGCAATTTATTTAATGAAATTCTAGCACAAAATTTAGTTTGGGCTGGGCGCAGTGACTCACTTCTATAATCCCAGCACTTTGGGAGGCCAAGGCAGGTGGATCACCTGAGGTTGGGAGTTCAAGACCAGCCTGACCAACATGGCACTGAGATTGCGCCATTGCACTCCAGCCTGGGCAACAAGAGTGAAACTCTGTCTCCAAAAAAAAAAAAGGTAATTTGAATTAAGTCATTATGACAAGTTTTTTAGACTAAGGATATTAACTAGTCCAAGAAATCTCTCTAGTGGAATTAGAGTACATCAAATTTAAAATCCTATAAAAAGCCAATGAGAGCCAGGTGTAGTGGCTCACACCTGTAATCCCAGCACTTTGGGAGGCTGAGGTGGGCGGATCACATTAGGCAAGGAGTTCGAAACAAGCCTGGGCAACACGGCGAAACCCCATCTCTACTAAAAATACAAAAATTAGCCGGGCGTGGTCATACACGCCTGTAATTCCAGCTACTTGGAGGCTGAGGCATGAGAATTGCTTGAACCTGGGAGGCAGAGGTTGCAGTGAGCCAAGATCGTGCCACTGCACTGCAGCCTGGGCGACACAGTAAGACTGTCTCAAAACAACAACAACAATAACAAAAAGCCAATGAGAATAGTTAGGGTATCTCAAAATTATCTGCATAACAGTTGTTACAGTAAAATACATACTCAAGTTCATCTCTGTATTGTCACATACTGGTTAGTTTTACAAAATGATTAAGGAGAAAAAAAATAATCAGTTTAATTGCAACAGTTGAAGAGCAAGAGATACTGCCTTGGGGGAAAAAATCTCCTTCTAATCAGATTTTCATTCACAGTACACAATTGCCTTATTTATAGTATTATTACGTTTTAGGTCATCAGGACAGGAACTGATATCTTTCACAAAATCATAACATCTTTACTGACTAACTTTTCATTGTCTAGAAACAGAGCTGTTCTATTTATTTATTTATTTGTTTGTTTGTTTGTTTGAGACAGAATCTTGCTCTGCTGCCCAGGCTGGAGTGCAGTGGCGTGGTCTCGGCTCACTGAAACCTCCATCTCCGGGATTCAAGTGATTCTCCTGCCTCAGCCTCTTGTTTAGCTGGGATTACAGGCACCTGCCACCATGGCCGGCTGATTTTTTTTTTTTTTTTTTTTTTTTGAGACAGAGTCTTACTCTGTCAGCGGGACTGGAGTGCAGTGGCGCTATCTCAGCTCACTGCAACCTCCTTCTCCCGGGTTTAAGCAATTCTCCTACCTCAGCCTCCCAAGTAGCTGGGACTATAGGCGCACACTGCCATGTCCAGCTAATTTTTTGTATTTTAGTAGAGACAGGGTTTCATCGTGTTGCACAGGCTGGTCTCCAACTCCTGAGCTCAGGCAATCTGCCCGCCTCGGCCTCCCAAAGTGCTAGGATTACTGGTGTGAGCCACCGCACCCAGCGTAGAGCCATTCTAATAATCCACAGACGCCTAAAATATTTCCACAAATTAGGCCAGGCACAGTGGCTCATGCCTGTAATCCTAGCTGTTTCACAGGTCCAAGACAGGAAGATCGCTTAAGCTGAGAAGATGGAGGCTGCAGTGAGCTATGATCATGCCACTGTGCCACAGCCTGGGCAACAGAGTGAGACTCCATTTCTAAAAAAAAGAGAAAGTAAGCAAATTGATCCATTATATCTCACACAGACTTACAAAGAAAGAAGAAAATATTATTTTTGTATCAGATAAAGACAAACAAGAACATCTGTGGCATATAAAACAGCTATACTATATCGTCAAGATCATAAACCTTAAAGGATGTAAATAGATTCAAATAAATAGAATATATCCATATTTAAATATTTTTAAAATCATTAGTTTTCTACCCAGACCCCAAGGAATGTTAATGCTCCTTTCTCCACACTCCTCAGTTGTTTCCTCTGGGTTTAACCGTCACACTTACATAGAATTCTATCTTGTTCCCTGATCTCTCCTGACATTGTTCCTCATTTCTAAAAGCCTATTGGTCATCTTTACTTAAATGTACTCCTGTCAGCTCAAATTCAACATTTCTAAAATCAAAGTAGTTCCCAAACCATGTCTCTTTTGAGTATTTCATATTTCTATCAATTGTAGCAATCACTGAACCTCAAAGAGACCTTTGACTCTTTCTATACTTTTTCTAGTCTTCTATAGTCTTCTACACTCTTTCATGTCTTTTTTTTTTTTTTTGAGATGGAGTCTCACTCTGTTGCCCAGGTTAGAGTGCAGTGGCGTGATCTCGGCTCACTGCAACCTCCACCTTCTAGGTTCGAGCGATTCTCGTGCCTCAGCCCCCTAAGTAGCTGGGATTACAGGGGCGTGACACTATGCCTGGCTAATTTTTTTTTTTTAATTTTTAGTAGAGACAGGGTTTCACTATGTTGTCCGGGATGGTCTTGAGCCCGTGACCTCAGGTGATCCACCCACCTCGGCCTTCCAAAGTGCTGGGACTACAGGCATGAGCCACTGCACCCGGCCTCATGTCCTTTTTTTTTTTTTTTTTTTTTTTACAATATAGCATGTTCTGACTTTACTTGCCATTCACATTGCTGCATTTTAGCAAGGGCCCTCAAACATTTCCCAAAATTCCTGAATTGAACTCCTAACAGACCTATTTTTACTCTTAGTCCTCCAATCTATTCCGCACAATAGGGGTAGATTAAAATTTACAACATTTCTTTACACTGAATTCAAAACCTTCACTGACTTTCCACCTCTTACAAAATCAAGTTTTTGACTCCTTAGCCTAAAAGACTTTAAAATCTACCTCCAATTTACTGTTCTAATATACCTCTTTCCAATTCTGCTCAGAAAACTCTACAGGCAAATGTCTTTGCTCTTTGTCCTTTCCACTTTGCCCTTTATCCTTTGTCCCTCTCTAGTCTCTTTTGAGTTTATGTTGTTCCTCTAACCTAGAACACAACAGCTTCTCCCTCTTATCTAAACCCTCCACATCCTTCAAAGCCAAATTCATGTCCCAGTTCCTCAGGAAAACTTTCCCTACCAGGGAAAGGACTTTGTGTTGATTCCCTGGCATTTATTATGAGCCACTTTTTATTCAGTATGATTTTTTATATACTCTCCTTTCTGATTAAATTATAGAAGTCTTTAAGGGCAGGAACTATCTTTCACCTCCTTATATTCTCAGTACCTAGCACCATGCCTTGCACAAAGCAGAAATTTTTATTATTATACTTGAATATTTCTGAATAATTATTAAATAATATTGGCATAGCTTTTGTTACATACCCCAAAACACATATATCTTGTATCACTATAAAATTACAAAAGGTAGACAAGATAGCGTATTACACTTGTTTCTACATAATATGAATCAGTACATGTGTGAACTAAAATATTTTTATGCAATTTTTTATTCCATAACAATTTTTCTTTTGACTTAGATGATTAAGGCAAAAGAAGCAAACCTTTAGAAACTTTATTTCTCTCATCGCAATTTTGTTGACAGATTGTTCTGGTCTCTCATAAAATATCTTAATGGCCACTATCTGCCCAGTATTCTTATGTTTACATTTCATGACTGTTCCGTAACTTCCCTCTCCCACTTTTCCAAGGGTTTCATACATCTCCATTTTCAAGCTGGGCTTTTACTACTTTATAGAAATAAAGAAAGAAAATGGAAAATGTTAAACGTTTATACTTTTATTTATTCAAACTAGATAATGTATATGCACAATAAACTCATAGTTTAAAATATAGAGACATTAAAAAAAAAAAAAAGGAATCTTTTCCACTGAGCCTTTTTGTCTTTGGGAACCAAAGACTGCTTGAGTAAAGTGTCCTTCTGAGGCTCCAACTCTCACCAGAACTTACGGGTACTCCTGCTGTTTCGGTCATGCCCATCAACACTGAGATTACTTCACTATAAGTCACCATCCATCAAGCATGGAGTCCCCACACTTCCTGTCATGTTCCTGTCAAATAATAGGTTCCCGCACTACTGCAGTCGCCCGCTTATCAGGCCCAAGGTCCTAAAAAAAGCCTGATCCCGCCCGCAACTCAAACCAGACGTCTTAGGATGCCGGACCGGCGTCACGCCCCACGTCCCGCTGTCGACTTTATCCAAAGAGCCGCCGCCTCAGCCCATTCTGTGGTCCCGCTGGCCTGGCTCTGCGTAGTTCCAGTGGGGCTACGGAACACTGATACTACTTCGTTGCTTAGCCCCGCAAAGATCAGGCCACTCGCTACCATGGAAACGCCAGCAGAGTTGCTGCGTTCTAGCCCTCGTGCGCAAGACCGGAACATGGGCAGGGTCCTGACCCGGAAGGGGAAGTGAGAAGAAACGGAAACCTGCTCTGGGTAGGCAGAGGGTGGAAGAGTGCTGCGCTTGGGAATGGGGGCGGGGAGTACAGGTCGCTGTCACAGCTGAGCCTCCTCACAACGTTGCTTTTGAATGGGGATAGGGAGGGTCTGCCTTTTTTTGTTGTTTGCTTTTTTGAGAGAATTGTGCAGTGGCGCCGATCTCGGCTCACTGCAACCTCCTTCTCCCGGGTTCAAGTGACTTTCCTGCCTCATCCTCCCGAGAAGCTGGGATTACAGGCGTGCGCCACCACGCCCGGCTTTGTATATTTAGTAGAGACCGGGTTTCTACTATGTTGGCCAGGCTGGTCTCGAATTCCTGACCTCAGGTGATCCGCCTGCCTCAGGCTTCCAAAGTGCTGGGATTACACGCTTAAGCCACCGCGCCCGGTCAAGATGGTTCTTAAAAACTTTTCTTGAACACCTGCCATACGCCTTTAAATTTTTTCCAACTGCTAGTAATGTTTTTTAAAGGAAAAAACCTCCCTCACCACGTGTCAAACTCTAGGGAAGCAAGTAATTCGAAGGGTTCCACCATATACGAAATGATGTACAAGAGCGCAGAAATAAAGAGGCCAGTGTTTAACTGCTTAAGTAGACATAGAGTTCAGCTGGAGTGACAGTCCCTAATGAATAACCACCGTATCACTAGAGCAAGTGCCTAGGGAGTGCTTTCTTTATTGAATAGGGCTTTCTTTGCTTTTTTTTTATAAAATGAGTTAAATGTAAAAAGCGAAATCTCGCCATGCTTCCACTAAATAAGAGAAAAGGCAATACTTAATAAATTCTAGTCCGGTGGGTACCGCCCCAGCATGCATATTTAAATCACACTTGGAGAGCTTTTAGAAAGCAACTCCCAACTCCCACATCCACACCCCCGCCCCAACACCAGAGAGCCTGATTTAATTGAGATAGGGTAAATAAATTAGTATGTTTGAAGCTTCTCAAGTTTTCTATGCTGCTACGGTTTATATTGAGAGAAAGGAGAAGTGGTCATCGTTTTCACTGATCACCTAAAATATTCAGAATTGTCTTATTTGAAAGTTATTCAGCAGGATGCGGTGGCTCACGCCTGTAATTGAACACTGTGGGAGGCCGAGGCGGGCGGATCACGAGGTCAAGAGATGGAGACCATCCTGGCTAACACGGTGAAACCCTGTCTCTACTAAAAAATACAAAAAATTAGCCGGGCGCGGTTGTGGGCGCCAGTAGTCCCAGCTACTCAGGAGGCTGAGGCAGGAGAATGGTGTGAATCCGGGAGGCGGAGCTTGCAGTGAGCCGAGATCGCCCCACTGCACTCCAGCCTGGGTGACAGTGAGACTCCGTCTCAAAAAAAAAAAAAAAAAGAGAATGTTATTCAACCACAATATAAAACACCTTCTATAAATAAGAATGTCATAGTAAATCTTATAGTGGGTTCAAACTTCGTGTAAGCATATTATTTGCTGTGGGCAAAATATTTGCAAGGAGGCTGCGCACAGTGGCTCACACCTGTAATCCGAGGGAAGCCAAGGTGGGCAAATCACTTGAGCCCAGGAGTTCCAGACCAGCCTGAGCAACAGGGCAAAACCCCGTCTCTACAAAAAATTAGCCGGGTGTGGTGGTGCACACCTGTGCTCCTTGGGCAACTGAAGGAGAATTGCTTGAGCCTGGAAGGTCAAGGCTGCAGTGAGCCCTCTTCACACCACTGCACTCCAGCCTGGGTGACAGAGCAAGACTCTGTCTCAAAAAATAAAAAAACATTGCCCAGGACAAAGATGAACCAAACTCAGTCCCTGCCCTCAATGAACTCATAATCCAGAGCTACAGAATTGATAACAGCATACAATTAATAGCTTTAAAATTATTCCTTCTACAAGTAGGTTATGGCAGGCCTGGTTAACCAGAACAGCCAGTGATTCTTGCTAATACACAGCTGTAAGACTTTATGATGCACATGCACTGAATTAGTTAAAAGTGTTAATTCATTTTGGAAAATTTAAACTGTTTCCGAAACAATTATAAATCCCTGTAGTCACGGAATTCCTAAATTCCATTGCCTCCAGTTCCCATCTTTAGGACTTTGTTGGTGCGTCAGGAGGACTCAGCACTTTTGTATCCATTCTTCAGCTCAACAAGGAAAGGGAGGTAGGAGAAGGACCTCAGCATTGCCCTAATCTTGCCCATAGTTCCATGGAACCAGAAAGGGTTAACTTTTCCCACTTTCCTTGTACCTCCCTTTTTTCAAACCCTGAATTCTGTCTCTGCTTTCAGTGACTGCCTAGACTGATAAATTATAAGGGTTTTTTGGTTGTTGCAGGGTTTGAGACAGGGTCTCAGTGGCATGATGATGGCTTACTGCAGCTCAAACGATTCTTCTGCCTCAGCCTCCTGAGTTGCTGGGGCTACTCGTGTGCACAGAGACAGGATCTCCTATGTTGCCCAGGCTGGTCTTCAACTCCTGGCCTCCCAAAGTGTTAGGATTACAGGCATGAGCTAATGCCCCAGCTCATGAGGGATATTTTTAAGATATAGTTTCTATTTACCATTTTTCTCCATGTAACCCTGCCTGTGTGTCTTCCTCCTTTGCTATTGGAAGGGTTAGGACTGCAATGGCAGAAAAGCAAAAACATTAAGAATATTCAGCTTTTAACTTAGAAAACACATTGTGAATGTCTAACAGGACCTATCAAGAGTTAGGCCTGGCTAACTTGATCACTAAGGCAGTCACTGGAAGCTGAGAGAATTCAGGGTTTGAAGCAAGAGGTACAAGGAAAGTCGGAAAAGTTAACTCTGCTTCCATAGAACTAGGGGCAAGGTTGAGGCAATGCTAAGGTCCTCATTCCACCCTCCCTTTACCTGTTGAACCGAACAATTCCCCAAATGGATACAAAAGTACTCAGAGTCCTTAGTATAACAAAGTCCTGAAAGTAGGAATTAGCAGCAATACAGGGAAAGACAGTAACTACAAAAAATATTCAAGGTCTGTGGGAGGTCAACACCTCTGAACCCCCTGGTGGTGGGGGGGCACTTCTCGCCCATTTGCACCTTTCTTGCTAGTGTAAAAAACCTGAAGTTGTCTCAGGCTGGATAGATAACCCTCACTCAGGTCTGCTGGAGCTCTCCCCCACATATGAATCATATTTGTAGGTTTCTTTGACAACCAACCACTCATTGATATGCTTGGAAGACTGCACCCCCACATTCTTAAAAATACAATGGTACTCCCCCCCATAGGCAAGTCCCCGGACTCTGACACATATCTTCAATTGAAAGCAGACCCAGAAAGGAAAAACTGCATAATACACCATCCTTTAATGTTTGCCCAGAATTTCCAATACTAGAAACCCCACTGCAAAGCAGAAAGACTATTTGGTAGCTTCAAGGAACCATTTCAGGAGATTGTTGTGTGGCCCTCAGTATTCAATGCTGCCTTAGAAGATCTTGCGATCCTCTCTCTTCTTGCCCCAAGTACCAGAGTTCATAAGCCACTGAACCAACCAGAGGGGAGTTATTTTTGGTCCCGGTTTAAAGAAAACAAAACAAGCTGTTGATCCTCCCACGACCTCTTGGGTAATGTCTCTATACCTGTGATAAACCGAAAACAACTAATAAAGGTGTATCCAGCCCTCACCCTCTTAGACCCGCTTCACAGACCTGGCCGAAACTCACATCCAGGCGAGGCTCTCACGTGACCCGTTCTAAACGCGTCACAGGGACACGTGGTTCTAGATACTTCTCCCCCTCCCCCTCAGGGGTGGATTGTTGACAAGGCCGCGGGCAGTCACGTGATCTTACATCATCCCACCTCCTTTCCCTGAAATCCCTGGCCCGGATACGTCCTTCTTTCTCCACCCCGCCGAGCCTAAACTAGAGACGGGGAGGCAGACAGGATAGTGTGTCGGTTTCGTGGTCTCTGAATCCACAACCTCTAGTCTGAACACAGAGAACACAAATTTGTCGATCACTTCAGGAAGCCCAGGAAGAACCACGCCCCGCTGAAGGGCTCAGGGAACGCGCGCTCCCCCGTCCCGCCCCCTCCTCCCCCAGCACTCACTCTGTGGTAGCGGCGGAGGGCGGAGGGATCCGGAGGCGGCGGAGGGAGACGTCATTGCAGGGTTGTTTGTCAGTCTTGGCGGCGGCGGCGGCGGCGGCGGCGGCGGCAGCGGCGATCCACAGTGATTCGGCCGCCGCGCCGGGGGGTGGGGGGGCTGCGCGGGACTCTTTTCTTTCAGACTGACCGCGGGGCAGCTGCGGAGCATGTCGACCCCGGCCCGAAGGAGGCTTATGCGGGATTTCAAGCGGTAAGGGCCTTCAGCTTCGCATAGATGACGGCCTCTCAAAGCTGCGGGGCTGCAGGGCGTGGATCCCGGACACCTTCCCCTTGTGACCCTCAGAGGGTCGGCTGTGGGCCCAGGGGGACTGGCGGAAGCCGGGTCCTACCTCGGCCCCTACTCTCCTTATCCTTGCCGCTCGCTCTGGCGCCCGAAGAAATTTCGATACTGCTTCCCCTCCCCCCAAAAAGTAAAACGATGTCGATCGACTGGTCTAGGGTTCCCCGCTGCCCATTTCGGCCAGCTGCCCGGGGTCTCGTCCAGGGGATCAGACGGGGATCAGACATCATCCTCCCGCCCCTGCACCCTGCGGAGACCCTTTCTTGTCCCCTCAAAGTGAGCTCCCGCGGGAGCTTGTTCTTCTCCGGCAGCACCAGTCAGCTTTGTTTCAAGGCCCCTCAGTCTTCTCCGAGGAGCCGGGTTGGGGTGAACCTCCCCAGCCCCCCACCCCCGCCAGTCCTTTCCATTTCTGCCGTGAGGGTGGGGTCCAGTGCGTGAGGCTCGGAGGTTAACCCATCCCCCGAAACCCGACTCTGTCCCCGCCCGCCTGAAAAGACCTTGGGAACTGACTTAGAGATCTGGGACCTTAGAGCTGGCCACCCCGGCTGCCAGTGCCTTCTGGAACTCAGATCTGGCTGGTGAAGAAAGCCCTATCTATAGCCTCCCGAGTCTGGAAAAATGCCTTCCCTTAGACTGGCGCTAATTTGATACTCCCTGGGCCTTCTTTGGTAAATAAAATAGGGTTTTGTTAGGAGGTATTGGGGTTGTGAGGAAGAAAATGATTATTCCGTTAGTTTACCTTTTATTGGATACTTAGAGACGTAGAAAAAACAAAATAACGTAGAAAAAACAAAATAAGTGAGAAAACATTTTGATATTCTGCACATTTTTCTTAAAATTTTTTCTGGGGACACCTACCCTAATTGAACAAAATAGCATAAAAACATAGATTTGTCGCTCAGGAAGTCACCTCTCAGCTATTATAAAGCCTATGTGAGGCATTTGGATTTGGCCAACTTATTTAATTCATTCGTAGCTTCTCTTAGCCATTTAAAGGTAGGCGTCAAGCAGTGCAGTTCTTCTAAGGCTTCTGTTTGTGGTGGCCTAATTTGCTTGAGATTGACTAAAAACCTTTTTTTTTATGTGGACTAGTTGCAAATTATGATGCCCCATGAAAACAACTCCATATGTATTTGTGAGTGTGTATAATGTAGCATTTTTAAATTGAGGTTACAGTCTCTGAAAGGAGATGCCCTTTTTGGTGCAAAAGTCATTTTTCTAAAGCTTGAAATCAGTGTATCTGATTAGCACTCATGACTAAAATTCAGATAGTAAACTAGTTCATGTCATTGTCGCCCTGGCTCCTTACTGTAATGCTCTGCTTAATTCTGAGTTGAATACATGGCACCTTTTGTAGTTTTCCAGAGATCTATAGGTTACAAGAATTTGACTATGACGAATGTGGGAAAGCCTTGTATTGAGTCTCCTGATTTGAGAGGTAGATTTGATGTTAGTGCAGAGCCTTTAAAATAGGGACTGGCGGAAAACCTACTGATTACTTTTTAAAGCCATTGCTGTTTGAAGCAAAAGGGATAGAGTAAATCTGCTGCCTAATACTAGTTTCCTAGTTAAATTTAATGTGTTTTCAGTCATTTCGTGTTTACACTGAGGTTTGCTTTTTTTTTTTTTTCTTGTAGCCATTTTGCAGAAGTAGCCGTGGTTAGGATACACAGTCTTTGCATGTTTAGAGCAGCAAAATCAATGGTTCTGTAAAAATATTACTTGCTTTTGAGGTTTTAAACTTTTTTTGGTATAAGAGGACAGTCTATATACATCAATTCTTGAAGAGATACTCTTGATAATATTGAAAGAGGGATGATTCTCAAGCCCTTCGGATTTTTAGGTAATTTGGAGAGGTATTTAATAAGTATATATACCTGGTTAATATATCTAAGTCATATGGTTCATTTTAGTTCACAATAACAAGGAAATGGAGTTAGTCTGTGTCTCAAAATAGATGGTGTAGTGTCTGTAGGTGTTTATGTGGCCTCCTTAGTGGCCTTAATGTTCAACTTTTTAAATTACAACGCTGGATTTCTAGGTTACAAGAGGACCCACCTGTGGGTGTCAGTGGCGCACCATCTGAAAACAACATCATGCAGTGGAATGCAGTTATATTTGGGTGAGTTGAAAGGTTTAACAAATAATAGGTGTGTGCTGAATCTTTAAGAAAAGTGAACATATAACAACTGTCTAGGAAAAGAAACTGAGGTAGAATGAGAGATCTTAAGGACTAAAACTGCAAGATAAATTAGAAAAAAATTTTTTTCAATTAGAGTTTTGGCCCAGCACAGTAGCTCAACGCCTGGGAGGATCGCTGGAGCCCAGGAGTTCATCACCAGCCTGGGCGATATAGTGAGACAGTGAGACTCTGTCCCCTCTCCACCAAAAAAAGAGTTTTGGCCCAGTCTGGGCAACATAGTGAGAGACCTTGTCTCTACAAAAAGTATAAAACTAACTGGGCATGGTGGTGCCCAGCTACTTGGAAGGCCGAGGCAGGAGGATCACTTGAGCCCAGAAGTTTGAGGCTGCAGTGTGCCACTGCACTCCAGCCTGGGCAGCCAGCTATCCAAAGAAAAAAAAAAAAAAGGGAAAAAGTTTCAGCAGTTATACAAAGTTTATTTGCTCTTTGATGTTATTACATATGGTTTTATAATCACTTGGGGTTTTACTTTTAAGATACTACTCAAAACTAAATGGAATGGAATAATAAAGGAGAAACAATACATTACTTTGTATAAAACATATCATGCAAATGCTCTCATTCTGTTGGAGCTGTTAAAAGGTTTGGAACCAAAAATATTAAGAACTTCCACTGCTGCAAGAATTTAAGTGAAAATGATTCACAGCCCAGTGTAAAATAACAGAATGCAGCCATTTGAGAAGCAGCTGTAAATTTTACCTACTATATATATTGCATATATGCTTTTTAATTTAAAATTTCCTTATGCTTTTTTTTGTTTTTTCTAGACTTGATCTATTTTTTTCTTTCATTCCTTTGATACTAGAGTTTTGCATTAAAAAGTAAAAGGAATAGGTTGATAAACAGAATTCTGACACTACAGAATCAGCTACAAGAGTCTACATTTAAAGACTAGTGGAAAATGAGTGAAGTTCATCCTCATAAAGTACTTCTGAATCTGAGTTGAATACATGGCACCTTCAGGATATTATCCTGCTGCTTTGAGATCCTGAATATGCCTTGCAAGTAATAATTAAGCTTTATGCTGCTGCTTAGGAAAGATGAAATTGGGATGTGGGGGCAAGGATCTGAGCAAACAAATCTGGCTCTTTGGTGACATCAACTATGCTTAGCCTATTTGAACAAAAGTTGTGGCTCCATTGGAAAGCAGGACACTTGGGTTTAGCATCATAACTAGAGTATTGCTTTACTTCTTATTGCTGTAAAATGAAAAGATGACTTTCCCTCTTAAGAATATACATGTGGGCCAGGTGCAGTGGCTCATGCCTGTAATCCCAGCACTTTGGGAAGCTGCGACGGGTGGATCACCTGAGGTCAGGAGTTCAAAACCAGCCTGGCCAAGATGGTGAAACCCCATCTCTACTAAAAATACAAAAATTAGCTGGGCGTCTGTAATCCCACCTACTCGGGAGGTTGAGGCAGGAGAATTGCTTGAACCTAGGAGAAGGAGGTTGCAGTGAGCCAAGAATGTGCCATTGCACTCCAGCCTGGGGGACAAGAGCAAAATTCCATCTCAAAAAAAAAAAAAAAAAAAGAATATACATATGTACAAAATGACTGGTCAGCATTAATGAAAGTTTTTAGGCCGGGCGCGGTGGCTCAAGCCTGTAATCCCAGCACTTTGGGAGGCCGAGACGGGCGGATCATGAGGTCAGGAGATCGAGACCATCCTGGCTAACCCGGTGAAACCCCGTCTCTACTAAAAAAGTACAAAAAACTAGCCGGGCGAGGTGGCGGGCGCCTGTAGTCCCAGCTACTCGGGAGGCTGAGGCAGGAGAATGGCGTAAACCCGGGAGGCAGAGCTTGCAGTGAGCTGAGATCCGGCCACTGCACTCCAGCCTGGGCGACAGAGCGAGACTCCGTCTCAAAAAAAAAGTTTTTTTGTGCTAAAATTATGGGCAAGTTTTTTTGTTTGGTTTTGTAAAACCACCCTAAAAAGAAAGCTTAGAATGAAAGTTATACTTTATGCCTGGGTCTATGAAAATTCAGGGCTAAAGTGTTATTAAACTCTATCTTAAAACTCCACAAATCATCAGAATGAGTCCCTCTTTTTCTGTTGGAGTAAATTTATCCTTTCCCATTCTTGAAAATCAAGAAAAAGCAGAATGAGAAACTTCTTTTAATCAGAAATCTTCTTGTTTTCAGACCAGAAGGGACACCTTTTGAAGATGGTAAGTCATACTCATTATGTTTTCTATAGTGTTATGAGGTTACTTTTTGGTAGAAAATTGTAACACCAACATATCTACTTGAAGCCATTTTCTATGGTTAATAGGCCAAGTTAAAAGTAAAGCTATGGAAAATTTATACTTTATAAGGGACTTTTTCCCACAGCAGCTTGGTCACCTCCATTCGTAACCGGTATTAAAGGTTACTTTAATATTTTTGTGTAGAACTGTAAGCCAAGTTGGCAATGTTTATGTTGAGAATAGTTTAAATTTAGGTGGCCTTAATAAAGATATCTCTGAGGTGAACACCAGAAGAGTAGATCATGCTTTTTTACTTTGTTATCTTTGATATTTGACAGGGTGTTGAGCTGAACTTTTTCATAAACATACATAGCTGCCAGTAGTTTCAAGTACTACCAGCATTTAACACCCATAAGTAGTTACCATTTTGCATAATCTTTGGCATCTCAAGTTGCGTATTTTCATCGGGGCGAGGAAAATGGGAAACAAGTTCTAATAACGTATTTATAATTGAGCTTATCAAATTGATTTTAACCAGGTACTTAGAGTTTTCCTAATTATAGTATTGGATTTTAAGAAATTATTAAACAGCTTTGTTATTAACAAAATGACTTCAGAATTAATCCATCAAAAATATCCGAGAATATTGATAATTCTCTGTTTGTAAGGACGTAATCTCAATGTCCAGTAGGAGAAATGGTTAAGCAAATTATGATGTATCTGGATTCTGGAATATGTACCTGTTAAAGAATAAGGCAGATTTGGACATACTGTCTTAAGAGGACAAAAAAAACTGCAGGATAATGTTTGTTGTAGCATCACATTTTTAGTAAATACATACATGCATGTGTGTCTATGTTAAAGGGTTATATATCAAACTGTTATCAGTGATTATCTGCAGGTGGGGGTAAGGAGTTGAAGGAGGTACAAAAGATGCCAGTTGGCCAGGGCAGTTGCTCATACCTGTATAGCCAGCGCTTTGGTAGGCTTAGGCAGGTGGATCATGGATCACTTGAGCCCAGGAGTTTGAGACCAGCCTGGGGGAGCCCGTCTTCACAAAAAATTAGCCAGGCATGGTGGTACATGCCTTTAGTCCTAGCTACTTGGGAGGATCACTGGAGCCCGAGAGGTCAAGGCTGCAGTGAGCCCTGATGGAGCCACTGTGCTCCAGCCTGGGTGACAGAGTGAGACCCTGTCTTAAATTACCAATTTTTCTTAATTTCTTAAAGACATTTTTATTAGTATTAGGAAGCTCTGGACCCTTGAGTATCTTTTTTTTTTTTTTTTTTTTTTTTCGTCTCGCCCTCTCACCCAGGCTGGAGTGCAGTGGTGCAGTCTTGGCTCTCTGAAACCTCCGCCTCCCAGGTTCAAGTGATTCTCGTGCCTCAGCCTTCCAAGTAGCTGGGATTACAGACATGCGCTACCATGCCCGGCTGATTTTTGTATTTTTAGCAGAGACAGGGTTTCACCATGTTGGCCAGGCTGGGGCCTTAAACTACTGACGTCAGGTGATCTGCCCGCCTTGGTCACCCAAAGTGCTGGGATTACAGGCATGAGCCATGCCCAGCCAAGTATCTGTCTTTTTAATATTCTGTATGATAGGAAGTAAGATGTATGAACAAAGCACTTCTGCATGTCATAGTATGATAGTTGTCTGGAAGAAAAGCACTTCTGCAGTTGTTGAAGTTGCAATTTGAACTACTTTTTTCATGGAACATTTTTACTTGAAAATACAGACAAGCTATGGTTATTCAGGTTTGAATATATGGCAGACATATTCTCAGAAGTGATGTAATAAGCTTGGTGTGGTGGCAGGCACCTGTGATCCCAGCTACTCGGGAGACTGAGGCAGGAGAATTGCTTGAACCTGGGAGACAGAGGTTGCAGTGCGCCGAGATCGCACCATTGCACCCCAGCCTGGACAACAGAGCAAGACTCCATCTCAAAAAAAATAAAAATAAAAAGTGGGGGGAGATCTAAGTGGGTTGTTAGGTTAAGGATAATGACTGAAGATATTTGTTGCTGTTGATAAAATGACAGCTTCCTGATACTTACTTTTTCATGTTAGTGGGTAGTGTTACCTGTTGTGATTTTTTTGATAGTATATAATGGAATATGGCAACATTTGGAAGATCGGTAAAGTTGAGTCACCCAATATTTTGCAGATGTCCCAGGAGTAATAATACAAAACCATGAATGGGTAAAACGTATGTGAAATGAACAGATTTTAATGTAACTGAGTACAAAAAGTTGACTAATAATTTCAGATTCTATATTGCAGCAAACCTTTAAAAGAACTACCATTTGTTCTTTGGTATAATATCAAAACAGAATAGCTACAGTTACCTGAAAAAGCTATTAAAATACTACTTTTTTTGCCGGGCGCGGTGGCTCATGCCTGTAATCCCAGCGCTTTGGGAGGCCAAGGTGGGCGGATCACCTGAGGTCAGGAGTTCAAGACCAGCCTGGCCAACATGGTGAAACCTCGTCTCTACTAAAAATACAAAAATGAACCAGGCGGGATGGCGTGTGCCTGTAATCCCAGCTACTCCAGAGGCTGAGGCAGGAGAAATGCTTGAACCTGGAAGGCGGATAGATTGAGTGCAGAAGCAGATAAGCGAATCCAGCAGTCTTCTGTTAAACCAATCATTAAAGAGACAGTTGCAAATATGTAAAACAATGCTTACACTTACCACCAACTTGGGGAGAAATATAATTTTAATTTATATTATGTGTAATGGGTTTGCAGTTTAACCTACCTTTTTTTTTTTTTTTTGGAGACAGTCTTGCCTTGCTCATGTCACCCGGACTGGAGTGCAGTGGTGCAATCTCTGCTCACTGCAACCTCTGCCTCCCAGGTTCACGCGATTCTCTTGCCTCAGTCTCCTGAGTAGCTGAGATTACAGGCACCCCCACACCTAGCTCATTTTTGTACTTTTAGTAGAGACGGGGTTTCACCATGTTGGCCAGGCTAGTCTCCAACTCCTGACCTCAGGTGATCCGCCCACCGCTTAGCCACCCAAAGTGCTGGGATTACAGGCATGAGCCACCGCACCCGGCTACAGTTATTTTTAATGAAGATTTTCTGAGTTAAACTTTTTTTTTTTTTTTTGAGATAGAGTCTTGCTTTGTCGCCCATGCCAGAGCATAGCGGCATGATCTGGGCTTACTGCAACCTCCACCTCCTGGGAGCGTCCTTTGCCATGTAGTAGTCAGCCCCTCTCAAAATCCTTTGACCACCCCTCATTCTAAGCAATAATAAACTATTTGTAGTTCTTCAAATATGCATTTTAAATCTTGGTAGCTAGGGCCTAGTTGCCTTCCAAAAATATGACAGTTAACACTCCCACCAATAGCAACATGAATGTGCTTGTTCCCCAACTGCTTGCCAATGCTGCGTGCTATCATTCTAACATAGAGTATATTTAGTATGTTTTGTGTGCCGAACCAAAGTTGACATACTAACTTTTATGTGGTTGTACAAAAACCAGTGTGCAGTTGAGAATTGATGAAGAGATTAAAAAGTCATGCTTGTCTTTACTGTAATTATTTTATTTTCTCTCTAGGTACTTTTAAACTAGTAATAGAATTTTCTGAAGAATATCCAAATAAACCACCAACTGTTAGGTTTTTATCCAAAATGTTTCATCCAAATGGTAAGTAGCATTTTATAGATTTGGCAGATGATAGTGGGGAAAAGAGTTGTTTCCCTCCTTTTAGCTCTTTCACCTTACATTTCACTGTTAGGACTCACTTGCAGGTGTTGCTTCCATGTCCATGTTAGCCATGTATTTTGTTGCGGATTTTTTTTTTTTTTTTGAGACGGAGTCTGGCTCTGTCGCCCAGGCTGGAGTGCAGTGGCGCAATCTCGGCTCACTGCAAGCTCCGCTTCCCAGGTTCACGCCATTCTCCTGCCTCAGCCTTCCGAGTAGCTGGGACTACAGGCGCCCGCCACCACGCTTGGCTTATTTTTTGTATTTTTAGTAGAGACAGGGTTTCACCGTGTTAGCCAGGATGGTCTCGATCTCCTGACCTCGTGATCCGCCCACCTTGGCCTCCCAAAGTGCTGGGTTTGTTGTGGATTTTTGGTTTGTTTCTTGTTTCTTCAGAGACAAGGTTATACTCTGTCACCGCTTCTGGAGTGCAGTGGTGCAATCACAGTTCACTGTTACCTCAAACTCCTGGGTTCAAGTAATTCTCCTGCCTCAGACTCCTAAGTAGCTAGGATGACAGGCACGGACCACCATGCCCAGCTAATTTTTTTTGTTTTCTTTTTCTTCTTTGTAGACACAAAGTCTCTGCGTGTTACCCAGGCTGGTCCTTGAACCCCTAGCCTCAAGCAGTCCTCCCACTTTGACCTCCCAAAGCACTGTGATTACAGGAATGGGCCACCTTTTCCAGCCTTTAGCTATGTTTCTGTAGCTAGAATCTTATGAAGCTTCCAAATTTGAGGTCAAGTTGTTTTAATAACCCCTGAATTAAAAGTAATATGTGGTCGGGCATGGTAGCTCATACCTGTAATCTCAGCACTTTGGGAGGCCAAGTTGGGCGGATCACCTGAGGTCAGGAGTTTGAGACCAGCCTGGCCAACATGGTGAAGCCCCATCACTACTAAAAATACAAAAATTAGCCAGGCATGATGGTGGGCACCTGTAATCTCAGCTACTCAGGAGGCTGAGACAGGAAAATCGCTCGAACCTGGGAGGCGGAGGTTGTAGTGAGTCGAGATCACAACACTGCACTTCAGCCTGGGTGACAAAGCAAGACTCTGTCTCCAAAAACACAAAGGTAATGTGTTAAGCCAGGCACAGTGGTGCACACCTGTAGTCCCAGCTACTCCGAAGGCTAAGGCAGGAGGGTGGCTTGAGGCCAGCCTAGGTAACATAGCAAGATCCTGTCTCTACTAAACTAAATAGATAAAAGTATTATCTATCTATTTGTGGAATTGTGAAAAATAACAAGAAAAATGTGTTGGCTGAAATTAAGCTTTCCAAAAATACAATTTTGGCCAGGCACAGTGGTTCATACCTATAATCCCAGCACTTTGGAAGGCCAAGGTGGGAAGGTTGCTTGAGCCCAGGAGTTAGAGACCAGCCTAGGCAACATAGTGAGGTCCCATCCCTATAAAAAATTTAAAAAGTAGCAGGGCACGGTGGTGCACACCTATAGCGTCAGCTACTTATGGAGGCTGAAGTGAGAGGATCACTTGAGCCCAGGAGGTCAAGGCTGCAAGTGAGCCATGACCGTCCTACTGCACTCTAGCCTGGGCAACAGAGCAAGATCCTATCTCAAAAGTACAATTTTGCATATACAAAATTGGAGTCAGTGACCATGCACAGTGGTTCATGCCTATTAATTCCAGCACTTTGGAAGGCTGAGGCAGGTGGATTGCTTGAGCACAGGAGTTCGAGACCAGCTTAGGCAACATGATGAAACCCTGTCTCTACAAAAAATACAAAAATTAACTGGGCACAGTGGTGCATACCTGTCTTCCGAGCTACTAGGGAGGCTGAGGTGGGAGAATTGCTGGAGCCTGGGAGGTTGAGGCTGTAGTGAGCCATGATTGCACCACTGCACTCCACCCTGGGTGACAAAGCAAGACCCTGTCTCAAAAAAAAAAAAAGAAAAGAAAATTGGGATCATTTATGTATAAAATGAGGTGGTGGTTTGTTTGTTTTAATATACTGTGAACATTTTCCCTTATTAAATATTCTGGGCCAAGCACAGTGGCTCACGCCTGTAATCCCAGCACTTTGGGAGGGAAAGGCGGGCGGATCATGAGGTCAAGCGATCAAGACCATCCTGGCCAACATGGTGAAACCTCATCTCTACCAAAAATACAAAAATTAGCTGGGCATGGTGGCGCGTGCCTGTAGTCCCAGCTACTCTGGAGGCTGAGGCAGGAGAATTGCTTGAACCAGGGAAGCAGAGGTTTCAGTGAGCTGAGATCATACCACTGCATTCCAGCCTGGCAACAGAGCAAGACTTCATCTCAAAAAAATAAGTATTCTGATACATCATTTTTAATGGCAAAATGTTCTGTTACATAGATTTATTGTATTTTTAACCAGTGTCCAATTGTTGATAGTTTTCTTTTTTTTTTTTTTTTGAGACAGAGTCTTGCTCTGTCGCCCAGGCTGGAGTGCAGTGGCCGGATCTCGGCTCACTGCAAGTCCGCCTCCCGGGTTTACGCTATTCTCCTGCCTTAGCCTCCCGAGTAGCTGGGACTACAGGCGCCCGCGACCTTGCCCGGCTAGTTTTTTGTATTTTTTTAGTAGAGACGGGGTTTCACCATGTTAGCCAGGATGGTCTGGATCTCCTGACCTCGTGATCCGCCCGTCTTGGCCTCCCAAAGTGCTGGGATTACAGGCTTGAGCCACTACGCCCGGCCGATAGTTTTTAATTGTTCATAATTTTAAATAGCACTTTGAACATTCTTAAAAATAAATCTTAAAAAAAATTTTTTTTTTTTTTTTTTGAGAAAAAGACTCGCTCTGTCACACAGGCTGGAGTACAGTGGTGTGACCTTGACTCACTGCAACCATTACCTCCTGGGTTCAAGCGATCTTTAGCCTCAGCCTCCTGAGTAGCTGGGACTGCAGACGTGGCCACCATACCCAGCTAATTTTTTTTTTTTTTTTTTTTTTTTTGAGACAGAGTCTTGCTCTGTTGGCCAGGCTGGAGTGCAGTGGCAGGATCTCAGCTCACTGCAAGCTCTGCTTCCCAGGTTCAAGTGATTCTTCTGCCTCAGCCTCCCAAGTGGCTTCATACCCAGCTAATTTTTATATTTTTAGTAGAGATGGGGTTTCACCATGTTGGTCAGGCTGATCTTGAACTCCTGACCTCAGGTGATCCGCCTGCCTTGGCCTCCCAAGTGTTGGGATCACAGGTGTGAGCTGCTGTGCCTGGCCTGAAAGTAAATCTTTCCAGATACTAATTATTTTTTGACTAAGTTTTTTGTTTGTTTTTTTAATTGCTGCATAACAAATAGACTAAGTTTTTTAAATGTGGGGATTACTGGGTCAGAGGCTTGTGTGTTTTTAAAGCTTTAATATCATTTTCCATTTTTTTCCTTCAGTGGAATTGTTTTCTTTTTTTTTTTTTTTTTTTTTTTTTTTGAGATGGAGTCTCGCTCTGTCGCCCAGGCTGGAGTGCAGTGGCGCGATCTTGGCTCACTGCAAGCTCCGCCTCCCAGGTTCACGCCATTCTCCTGCCTCAGCCTCCCGAGTAGCTGGGACTACAGGCGCCCACAACCGCACCCGGCTAATTTTTTGTATTTTTAGTAGAGACGGGGTTTCACCATGGTCTCGATCTTCTGACCTTGTGATCCGCCCGCCTCGGCCTCCCAAAGTGCTGGGATTACAGGCGTGAGCCACCGCGCCCGGCCTTCATTTTCACTTGGTAGAGTAGTTTGTTACTACTCTTCATTAAATGATGGCTAATTACTTTGTAATACATTTGGTCTTCCTTGACATCTTGCTGTTTACATCTATTACGTTTATATTTCTGGATTATTAATTACCACGTGAAAGACTTCTCCAAATTCTTGAAGCTCCTCTTCAGTTTTACAGCCTTTGCTCATTTAAATGTGGTGTTCCCCATCAGCCAACTCACTTTCAAGAAGAACATTTTCAGAGGTCCTCTTGGTCATGTCTCTAGTGCTGCAGAATACATTATAGAGCTCCCTACCCAGAGGACGGATGTGTTTTGTTTGTGTCTGGAATCAAGATGACTTTTCAGTAATAGATACTACTTTTGGCGCTTCATTGCTATGAAGTTGCTTTTTCCTTCTAGTTGCCTTTTTTGCTTTTTTTTTTTGGTCTAAGACAGGTTTAATTTTATTTTCTGTTTCTCTTTTTGGGGAAGTTCCCAAGTCATTTACCATTTATTCCACTGTAGCTTTATCTTACTTAGACTTGTTATTGAGTCAAACCAAACCAGTTATGGTAAGAGGGTCTTTAAATCAAGGTGGGAAAGATGGTAGAATGAGTAAGGGGTATAAATGTAGGATTATCAACTTAAGCAAATTTTTAAGAAAACACAGTGTATTTGGTTTTCACATCTCTTCATATTTATAGCATGGTTTCCCTTTTTTTCTGTTACGAGTCCTTTTTTATAATTTAACTTTTTGGTTTACTTTTTAAAAAACATTTATTGAAATATAATTTACACACCAAGCTGTTCACCCACTTAAATTGTACAGCTCAAATGGTTTTTAGCATAGTCACAACCATTACCATGACCACTTTAAAAACAACAAAAGCCCCATAACTATTATCTTAGCAGTCAACTGTGTTTGTCCTAATCCTCCCTGCTTCAGTCCTAGGTAACCCCTAATCTGTTTTCCCTCTAGATTTGACTATTCTGGACATTTCATATAAATGGAATCTTACAACATGTGGTCCTTTGTGACTAACTTCTGTCACCCAGCATGAAGTTTTCAAGGCTCATCTGTGTTGTGACATAATAGTATTTGTGATTCATTTTTTATTGCTGAATAATATTCCATTGTATGGATATTCTGTATTTTGTTCATTCATCAGTTGATAAGATGTTTTGAGTTCTGGTTTACTTTTGGATTCTCAGAAATAGTTACTCAGAACTTTAAAATTGTTTTATACTTTTATGGGTTTTACACAGTTGCCAATTTTTGCTTTAGGCGGCTAAGTTTGATGTTTTTGTGGGATGGACAGTAAGTTGGCTTTGAAGCTGATAGATCTAGGCTAAGGCCAATGATTGGGAGTACTGAGCACATGGATGGTGACTGAGGCCACAGGAGTGAATAATACAGCCCAGTGTGTGTATAAAGGGTAAGAAGGAAAAGGGCCTATGATAGAGTCTGGAAGAATCACAGTGTTTAAGTGTGATTTGCTCCCCACTCCCTGTTATGGTTTGCTCCATGAAGTGGTATCTGTAACATTTAAATGCATTTACCCTTTGTTTTACATAGCAGTTCACTTCTAGAAATTTTTTCTACAGATAGTCTCACACTTGGGCAAATATTTATATTCATTGCTTGTATTTTCACAGAATCAGTCTAAAAGGGGAAGAACCCTCCCATATGTTAGGACTTTTGATACCTGTCACTTGATTTTTTTTTTTTAATGAAAGGAATATGTATACTCATTGCACAAATAAATCATAAACACAAGGAAGGATAAAGAAAATAAGATAGGCCAGTCACGGTGGCTCACGCCTGTAATCCTAGCACTTTGGGAGGCTGAGGCAGGTGGATCACGTGATCAGGGGTTCGAGACCAGCCTGGCCAGCATAGTGAAACCCTGTCTGTACTAAAAACATAAAAAATTATCCGGGCATGGTGACGTGTGCCTGTAATCCCAGCTACTTGGGAGGCTGAGGCAGGAGAATTGCTTGAACCCAGGAGGCGGAGGTTGCAGTGAGCCGAGATTGCGCCACAGAACTCCAGCCTGGATGACAGAGCGAGACTCCATCTCGAAAAAAAAAAAAGGATCATCCGCTGGGCGCAGTGGCTCACGCCTGTAATCCCAGCACTTTCGGAGACTGAGGCAGGCCGATCACCTGAGGTCAGGAATTTGAGACTAGCCTGGCCAACATGGTGAAACCCCATCTCTACTAAAAATACAAAAATTAGCTGGGTGTGGTTGTATGTGCCTGTGACCCTAGCTACTTGGGAGGTTGAGGCAGGAGAATTGCTTGAACCCAGGAGGTAGAGGTTGCAGTGAGCTGAGTTCTCACCACTGCACTCCAGCCTGGACAACAGACCGAGAATCCATCTTAAAAAAAAAAAAGGCCGGGCACGGTGGCTCATGCCAGCACTTTGGGAGGCTGAGGCGGGTGGATCACCTGAGGTCAGGAGTTCGAGACCAGCCTGGCCAACATGGTGAAACCACGTTTCTACTAAAAATGCAAAAATTAGCTGGGCGTGGTGGCGGGCATCTGCAGTCCCAGCTGCGTGGGAGGGGCAGGAGAATCCCTTGAACCTGGGAGGCAGAGGTTGCAGTGAGTCGAGACTGCACCATTATACTCCATCCTGGGCAACAAGAGCAAAACTATGTCTCAAAAAAAAAAAAAAGGACAAGAAAATAAGATCATCCATAACCCTACTATTACAAATATCCACTACTTACATTTTGACATTCAGTCTTACGAATGTTTTTGTGACTACATATACTTTAAATGAATTTATATAAAATTTTTTAATCAAAATAGGGAATTATAAATAAAAACATTTTTAAGGTAATATTCTGTGGATATCTTACTCTATAAAACAGTAGATATGTATCATTGCTGGTGATTGTGTTGCTATTGTTTATATGAATGTATCAGTCATTGTTTATTTAGCCAGTTCCCTCTTTTGTGGACCACAAGGTAGTTTTCAGTTTTTCACTTTTTTTTTTTTTTTTTTGAGATAAGAGTCTTGCTCTGTCACCCAGGCTGGAGTTCAGTGGCACAATCTCGGCTCACTGCAACCTCTGCCTCCTGGGTTCAAGCAGTTCTCCTGCCTCAGCCTCCTGAGTAGCTGGGACTATAGGCGTACGCTACCGTGCCTGGCTAATTTTTGTATTTTTAGTAGAGACGGGGTTTCACCATGCTGGCCAGGCTGGTCTCGAACTCGTGACCTCATGATCCACCCGCCTCGGCCTCCCAAAGTGCTGGGATTACAGGCGTGAGCCAGTGCACCTGGTCTTCTACTCTTATAAGTAGTATTATAGTGAACAACCTGTAAGTCAATTTTCGTGCATATCCACGTTTATTTCCTTAATTTCTAAGAGTGTAATTGCTATGTCAAAAAGAAGCAGTTTTTTAAAAGCTTTAAGAATATTTAGAAATACGGAATTTAAATAGATTGCTAAATCATGTGTGTTGAAGAAATTTAACTCAAAGCCTCCTGATCATAACATGCTGTGAAAGAACATGAAAATGAATCTTAGTTCATTTTCTGCTACAACAGAATAGCAGGAACTGATAATTTGTCAACAATAGTAGTTTGTTTGGCTCATGGTTCTGGAGACTGGGAAGTCCAAGAGCATGGCACCAACACCTAAGCAAGGTCCTTGGTGCTGTGACATCCCATGGTGGAAGGCAGAATGACAAGTGAGCACACAAGACATGAGAAATAGTGCCAGACTCATCCTTTTATCTGGAGTCCACTCCTGCCATCAGCTCTCATGACCTAAGCACTTCTTAAAGGTCCCACTTCTCAACAGTGTTACAGTGGCAATTAAATTTCTTTTTTTTTTTTTCTTTACTTAATTTTTTTTATTTTTATTTTTTTGAGACGGAGTTTTACCCTGTCATCTAGGCTGGAGTGCAGTGGTGTGATCTCGGCTCATTGCAACCTCTGCCTCCTGAGTTCAAGCGATTCTCCTGCCTCAGCCTCCCAAGTAGCTGGGATTACAGGCATGCGCCACCACGCCTGGCTAATTTTTATATTTTTAGTAGAGACGGGGTTTCACTATGTTGGCCAGGTTGGTCTCAAACTCCTGACCTCAGGTGATCCACCCGCCTCAGCCTCCCAAAGTGCTGGGATTACCAGCATAAGCTACCGCGCCCAGCCTCCAGCAATTACATTTCAACATGAGTTTTGGAGAGAACATTCAAACTATAGCAGGTGCAGAATAAGAGACTTTAGTTTTGGCCGGGCGCGGTGGCTCACGCCTGTAATCCCAGCACTTTGGGAGGCCGAGGCGGGCGGATCACAAGGTCAGGAGATCGAGACCACGGTGAAACCCCGTCTCTACTAAAAATACAAAAAATTAGCCGGGCGCGGTTGTGGGCGCCTGTAGTCCCAGCTACTCGGGAGGCTGAGGCAGGAGAATGGCGTGAACCCGGGAGGCGGAGCTTGCAGTGAGCCGAGATCGCGCCACTGCACTCCAGCCTGGGCGACAGAGCGAGACTCCGTCTCAAAAAAAAAAACAAACGAGACTTTAGTTTTAAGACAGGTTTTCCTTTGATACAGAAGAATTTAGTTATTACCTAATATTTAAAACATCTAAGCCAAGCATTCTGTTTGTGGTAAAGATTTCTCTTAACTGTTAGATATGACAAAGTGAATGTGTAACCAATTTTAGTGTTGTCTTTGCAGTGTATGCTGATGGTAGCATATGTTTAGATATCCTTCAGAATCGATGGAGTCCAACATACGATGTATCTTCTATCTTAACATCAATTCAGGTAAGTATGTGTTAAGATGTATTATAGTTTGTCAGTATTCTGTAGGATACAGTCAGCTCCTTTAGGAGCACTGTAACCTGCTTAGCACACAGGTAACCAATGGCAGAGCTTGGGCAAGAATCCATGCTTTTCAGCTAACTTCTCTTTCAGTAATGCCTACATGGGATCCAGTCTGCAGTCCCTTTCCTGATTGTGTAAGTTACATGTTCTTACAGGTCAAACCTAATTTGTGTCCATGAAGCATAGCCAACGGTTGTGGAAAAGAAAAAAATGGCTTGGAAAAACCATAGGAACCTAAAGAAACTGCCAAGCGCAGATAAGCATTGAATGTGTTACCCCATCCAAGAAATTCTGTTTTAAAAAAAAGGAAAATTGCCGGCCGTGCTCAAGCTGTAATCCAGCACGTTGGAGCCGAGACGGCGATACGAGGTCAGGAGATGAGACCATCCTGGCTGACACGGTGAAACCCATCTCTACAAAAAATAGCCGGCGAGGTGGCGGGCCTGAGTCCAGTACTCAGGAGGCTGAGGAGGAGATGGCGTGAACCGGGAGGCAGAGCTTGCAGTGAGCGAGATCTGGCCACTGCACTCCAGCCTGGGCGCAGAGCGAGACTCGTTCAAAAAAAAAAAATAAATAAATAAATAAAAAAAAAAGAAAATAATGTAACATTTGCCGAAGCAGTCTGGCAGAATATTTCAGAATAGATCTTTGAATGAAAATTTAGGAGGGGTGGAGTGAGGGGTGTTTTGGTTTTGTGGATTTGAGAGGAGCAGAAATAATATGTTGGTTTGTGATGTTCTTTTTAAAGTTTTTTCTGTCACACTTCTTTAATTCTGGCCTTTTTTTTTTTTTTTTTTTTTTTTGAGACAGAGTCTTGCTGTGTTGCCCAGGCTGGAGTGCAATGGCTCAATCTTGGCTCACTGCAACCTCTGCCTCCCAGGTTCAAGTGATTCTCCTGCCTCAGCCTCCTGAGTAGCTGGGACTACAGGCATATGCCACCACGCCCAACTAAGTTTTTTGTATTTTTAGTAGAGATGGCGTTTCACAGTGTTAGCCAGGATGGTCTCTATCCAACCTCATGATCTGCCCACGTCGGCCTCCCAAAGTGTTGGGATTACAGGCATGAGCTACTGTGCCAGGCCAATTCTGGTCATCTTACAAGCATTGTTTTTCAACCTTCCTATCTCATTCTCTTCCTGCTAAATATATATGTTTTGTTGATTAAAGGAAATAAGACTTATCCCCCAACTTTTACTGTCAGACATTTGCAAAGTAACTGCAGTAGTAGAGTTTAACCTTGGAAAATGTTGGATACTGACAGATTTATTGATACTATAGCTTAACCAAATTAAGCTGTTCATTTCCTTGGTTTAATGAGAAAATCTCAATATGCTTAAGAATATTCTTTTCTGATTTCTTTGAAATTATAGGTGTTTTTTTCTTTTTTTCTTTTTTTGAGACGGAATTTCACCCTTGTTGCCCAGGCTGGAGTGCAATGGCGCAGTCTCGGCTCACCGCTATCTCTGTCTCCCAGGTTCAAGCAATTCTCCTGCCTCAGCCTCCTGAGTAGCTGGGATTACAGGCATACACCACCACACCTGGCTAATTTTGTATTTTTAGAAATTATGGGGTTTTCTTCATGTTGGCCAGGCTGGTCTCGAACTCCCTACCTCAGGTGATCTGCCCGCCTCGGCCTCCTATAGTGCTGGGATTACAGGCATGAGCCACCACACCTGACCTCTTTTTCGTTTTAAATAGAAACAGAGTTTCCCTATGTTGCCCAGGCTGATCTTGAACTGCTGGGCTCAAGGGATCCTCCTGCCTCGGCCTCCCAAAGTGTTAGGATAACAGGCGCAAGCCACTGTACCCAGCCGAAACTGTAGGTCTTAAGGCAATTGAGAACATTATTTCAGAAGCTTAAGTTCCTTAGCAGCAGGAAACCTCATAGTATTTATCAAATCATTTCTAAAATATTTAGACCCAAAATTATATGACATGTTAATCTCTGAAGTAATTTGTTGTTTTGTATAACTTCTCTGTAATATATTCCATATCTGACCCGTTAGTATAAAGAATAACTAAGCAAATCTGTTTTTTCTTTTCTTTCCTCCTAGTCTCTGCTGGATGAACCGAATCCTAACAGTCCAGCCAATAGCCAGGCAGCACAGCTTTATCAGGAAAACAAACGAGAATATGAGAAAAGAGTTTCGGCCATTGTTGAACAAAGCTGGAATGATTCATAATAGACAACTGGTCTGTTAATCTTTTTCATCATTGTTGTGTATAATTTACCTCTCAGTAGAAAGGCTAACAAATTTTAAGTGCCACAGGTTTTAAGGATTCTGCAGAAAAAAAAGAAAAAAGTCCTTCAGTTTAGAACCTACAAAAGCTTGTGTATCTTGATTAATGTACTTTTTATTGCATGGTGTGAACTAAGTTATTGCTGCATAAATTTGTAATATATCCTGTTTGTATTTTTTTCCAAGTGTATAATGTTGGTGTGGAGTTTTCATGACAGAATATACACATTTTGTAAATCTGTACTTTTTTCAAATATTGAATGCCTTATTTTTGAATTCTTTAGATTTTTAAATTGGAGAAAAGCACTTAAAGTTTTTTATATATGAATATTACATGTAAAGCTGTTAAAATACATAACTTCAGTGCAAGAGACTTTGTCACTTATTTCCTTATGTGTGTAGGAGGGGTTAATAAGTCTCTAGCTCTCCATCTATTGATAGTTTCATTTACAATTTCAAAAGAACATTCTTACATTTTATCAAGGAAGTCTTCAAATTTGATTCTAAATAGCAATTATAATCTCCAACTTTATTTTGAATGTACCTATATTAGTTTCAATTGAGTAATTCTAGACATAACTGGTTTGGTTCTGTCCAACTCTGTATTTAGGCCATTTGTTACAGTTTCTTCATGCATTACTTACTGTTAAAACTGTACCTTTGGGCCAGGCGCGGTGGCTCAAGCCTGTAATCCCAGCACTTTGGGAGGCCGAGACGGGCGGATCACAAGGTCAGGAGATCGAGACCATCCTGGCTAACATGGTGAAACCCCGTCTCTACTAAAAAAAATACAAAAAACTAGCCGGGCGAGGTGGCGGACGCCTGTAGTCCCAGCTACTCGGGAGGCTGAGGCAGGAGAATGGCGTGAACCCGGGAGGTGGAGCTTGCAGTGAGCTGAGATCCGGCCACTGCACTCCAGCTTGGGTGACAGAGCGAGACTCCGTCTCAAAAAAAAAAAAAAAAAAAAAAACTGTACCTTTTGCGGTTTCACAGTTAGCACTTCTGCCACGAGCAGAGAACTAATGCGACTTGTTTTGCTGTTTGGTAGCACTTTAAAAATTTTTTGATTAATGAAGAAAGTAAAACCATAAACATTTGCCAAAAATTCATGCCCCAGTATTAGCAATGAATTGATTGCATTGGTTTGAGAAAGGCACATCTTGGAGGGAAATCTTGGTGTAACTTAAATATTTGAAAATTACCTTTAATGCAATGCATATCTGTTTATTCTGGGAAATGTTTTAATGCCAGGGCCTGCTGAGTTGCTTCTTCTTGTGGAGATTTTTTTTTTTAATCTCCTGAGTTGTATAAAAGTTGTACTGCATCTTAGTTTACTGGATAAATTTAAAACACAGTATTGTAGAAAGCTAATACAAAACTATCCTATGCCTTCAAATAGTATAGAAAATGGAAAATATACAAGTAAATTCTGTTGAACCACCTGTGTAGTCTCTCTAGTAGATAAAACAGCTATTTCAGTAACCCCAAGAGTTTCTTGTCATATCCATAAGATTGGGTTACAGTATGGCAATATCTACAGCTTCTATTCATTATGCAATGTTTAACATTGATTGGATAAATGATTATGGGCTGGGCCACGTGGCTCCCACTTGTAATCCCAGCACTTTGGGAGACAAAGACAGGAGGATCACTTGAGGCCAGGACTTCGAGACCAGCCAGGGCAACATAATAAGACTTTGTCTCTACTTTAAATTTTTATAAAATCAATTGGGCATAGTGGCGCTTGCCTGTAGTCACAGCTACTTAGGAGGCTGAGGTGGCAGAATAGCTTGTGCCTAGGAGGTTGAGGCTGCAGTGAGCTGTGATTATGCCATTGCACTCCAGCCTGGGTGACAGAGCAATACCCTGTCTTTAAAAATAAAAGCTATTACTTGGCAAATTCTGGGGTAAGTGTATGATCTTAGGGAACTTTGATACCAATGGGAATTCACTCACTGGAATCGTGGCTCCCAAAAAGATGCTTTAATTGTGTGGTGCTTTTATAATTTAGCTCCAAAACAAATTATAGACATTCACTCCAGTAACTCCTAGATTAAATATACAGTAGCCATGAGGGTCTGCCCTCTTATTTCATTAAATGCTATCTGGTTACTACTTCAACATCGATTTTTATTCTTGACCTGTTTTTGCCTTTCCCAGTTTAAAACAGGAACATTTCAAGTATTGGTAGATTATTATAAAGAAGTTACTTTGCAGGGAGGTCAGTGAGTTCTAACCAACAAAATTCAACACATGCATAAAACTCATAGCGTCCACATTCCTTTTCGAGAAAATCCTTAAGAAGGTTCAATCTATACGCCTTTTTCAATCCTCACTTTTTTCTGCAGCCTTCGAACAGATTCCTATTTCTTTGGTTAAGTAGCAGATATAAACCTTCGATTTACAAAGTTGAGTTGTACAAAGTGTTTACTTTAAACTCTAGGTCAGTTTCATAAATGTATGCTAGGGCTAGAACTAAAATACATTTATTTATGTTGGTACAAAGTTATATTGATGGATTCATGTTAAAAAGTTTAAATGCATATGTGGTGCAATTCCCTGTAACAATACCCCTAGCACAGAATAATCTGCGAAAGGCACTATTCTAAGCACTTTTAACATACGTTATTTCGTTTCAAATTCACAAATACAGTGGCTCACGCCTGTAATCCCAGCACTTTGGCAGGCTGAGGTGGGCCGATCACCTGAGGTCAGGAGTTCAAGACCAGCCCGGCCAACATGGTGAAACCCCGTCTCTACTAATAATACAAAAATTACCCAGGCATGGTGGCATGTGCCTATAATCCCAGCTACTCGGGAGGCTGAGGCAGGAGAATCACTTGAACCTGGGAGGCAGAGGTTGCAGTGAGCCGAGACCTCACCACTGCACTTCAGCCTAGGCAACAGCGAGACTCCGGCTCAAAAAAAACCAACAAAGATGATGATGAAACTAGGCACAGATAGATGAAGTGACTTGCTCAAGATCAACCAGCCAGTAAGTTATAGAACTAGGATTTGAACCCTATGTGGTCTTATCCAGAAATGTGCTATCTTTTCAGAGGCTGAGATTGGTTTTAGAAATTCTATAGAACTTCAACATTCATCCCAATTTGTGGAAATACTTTAATTTATTTAGTTTTATACAGACTTGTGTCTACTCCAGTGAAAAGGTTTCCTTTTTTTTTTTTTTTTTTTTGAGACGGAGTCTTGCTCTGTCGCCCAGGCTGGGGTGCAGTGGCCGGATCTCAGCTCACTGCAAGCTCCACCTCCCGGGTTTACGCCATTCTCCTGCCTCAGCCTCCTGAGTAGCTGGGACTACAGGCGCCCGCCACCTCGCCCGGCTAGTTTTTTGTATTTTTTAGTAGAGATGGGGTTTCACCGTGTTAGCCAGGATGGTCTCGATTTCCTGACCTCGTGATCCACCCGTCTCGGCCTCCCAAAGTGCTGGGATTACAGGCTTGAGCCACCGCGCCCGGCCTTTTTTTTTTTGAGACAGGGTCTTGCTCTGTTTCCCAGGCTGGATGCAGTGCCTCCAGGCAGCTCACTGCAGTCTCAACCTCCCAGGCTTAAGCCCTCCTACCACCTCAACCTCCTGAGTAGCTGAGACTACAGGTGCATGCCCCCACACCCAGCTAATTTTTTTACTTTTGTAGAGATGGTGTCTCACTATGTTGGCCAGGCTGGTCTCAAAGTCCTGGGCTCAACTGATCATCCTGTCTCAGCCTCCCAAAGCACTGGGATTACAGGCATGTGCCACTGCACTCAGCTGAAAGTGCTTTCTTGACTACTGTTTTCCACTGACTTTAGGAATACTTTCTGGTTTCTATATAAAAGACTGACTTATCAATAAGCCACATTTTTCCCCTTCCTGGAAATATCCTTGAGTCTGTAGGATTTCTCTCCTCCACCCCCCCCCACCCCACACACCAAGTTTCATTAATATGAATAACTTTCCATGCTTCTTGTGTTCACAGGATGGCCTAGGAATTTTTAGTTGAGCCAAAAAGATGAATGAGCTGTGCCCATTACAAACCTTGTTGATATCTGACTGCTCCACAGCTCTAAATTCACTCATGTAGGTGGAAGATAGCAGAGAAGTAAGTTATTAAAGGTGTGGTATTAGTAACCGTCTGTTTAATGCTCATTAAACAAAGTTAACTGCCTATTTATTCATTTAGTATTCTTTAAGAGATAACCCTGAGGATCATAGTATACTTCAGAGTTACGTCTAAGGTGTTTCATATTTCAGTTCTCCCAGGTTTTAAGAAGTAGGGATCAAATTTTGTAGTCTTGATGGTATTTATGACAGTTCTTCTCCATTGCATTCAACAATGTAGAGTCCAAGTGGAATCTGAGTTATGTGAGAATCATGTATTTAAATAGAAAAGTGAATAGTTGGAAAGCTATTCATGGTAAATGAAATTATCCGTAGGACAGAGGCCTTATGCCAAGATGGTAGCTCTATTACTTTAGTTCCCATCTAGTTATGGGGGGAATTAACTGTTACCAGATGCGGGAAAGATTAGTTGTCATCAGTCATTCTAGTATATGACAGCAAAGATATTAGAAACTAAATTTTATTGTTGAGAGGACTTTATTGTTTGAACAAAGAAGACACAATTAAATGTGTGCCATTCTTCCTTCAATGAATTCTCCTCACCATCACTACAGCTTTTTAAAACAATTTTGTCAGAAATACCTTGAGGTTTCAGTGCTGCTTGTGTTCACAGGATGGCCTAGGAATTTTTAGTTGAGCCAAAAAGATGAATGAGCTGTGCCCATTACAAACCTTGTTGGTTATCTGACTGCTCCACAGCTCAACATTAGTTCCTTGATGGCTGAAATCAAGAACCCTGGAAGAACTTGGGCTCCAGAGTTCTCTTTGCCATATGGAAGATTCAGACTTGCGTGAGAAACTTGCATATGAAATAACTTTCAGGAAGTAAATGCTAAAGCTTGGCCACATGTTGCTTTTGTTCATCAGTGACTTCTGGATTAATATATTTGGGAAGACTCTAATATATAATAGAGTGGGCTCTGCCTGGAGAAAGCAAAGTAACCTTTTGGCCAATTAGAGAAAGTCTTTATATAATAGTAACAGTCTTGGTTACAAGTATGATACTTCTGTAGTCTTTTAGGGGAGGCTGGCTCCTCTGAAGTCTTATTTGGAAGACAGATTCATAAAGTGCCACTGGGCTGGGAACTCCTGTAAAGGGAATTGAAGCCTGTCTCTGAAAAGATCCCCCTCTGAAAAGTTCCCCTCGGGTTCCATCAACCTGAACAATTTAGTCATTCTTCTGGAATGCAGGAGTTGTTCTCTACTGTGTCTTTAAGACTGCCAAAATGCAAACATAAAAGCACTTGAGGCAAATCCCCCTAAGAGCAAAGGGGACTGGGTGCCGTGGCGGCTCACGCCTGTCATCCCAGCACTTTGGGAGACTGAGGCAGGTGGATCACCTGCGGTCAGGAATTGGAGACCAGCCTGGTCAATGTGGCGAAACCCCGTCCCTACTAAAATTAAAAATTAGCCAGGGGTGGTGGAGGGCGCCTGTAATCCCAGCTACTCAGGAGGCTGAGGCAGGAGAATTGCTTGAACCCTGGAGGCGGAGGTTGCAGTGAGCTGAGATTGCGCCATTGCATTCCAGCCTGGGTGACAGAGCGAGACTCCATCTCAAATAAAGAGCAAAGGGTTGGTTTTACTGCTTTATTTCTGAAGCCCAAGGGATATATTGCCCTCTTCCTTTTCCCCTTTACAAACAAGATCTTTTGCCAATACCATAACTCACCAGTACAGGAGTGCTGGACTAGCAGTACTCCTGAACAGGAGAATATCAAACAGGGTTGAAGTTCTTTGGCTGGCCCCTATATAAAGTCATTGTATAAGATCGAATTGGAAATTTTATGTTTTTGTGTTGATGTTAGTACAAAGAAAACAACAGGAAGTTGCTTAGCTGTTAACCTCATTTTAAATCTGAGGGATATTTTCCCCTTCCTATAGAAAAAAAATGCTTTTGCTTGGCCTAATGACCATACTGGGCAGACAACAGGGTGAAGTCCAGAGACTTCAGCCCGTGTTATTAGTTTCAGCTACAGATGAGAAATAGCACTCCAAAGAAAAGCTAAACTGGTAACCTTGCTGTGTAGCAGAGATCTTTGGTCGTAGGAGTATTCCTGTATGGGCCATAAGATTGTGGTTTGAGGTGGAAACCCTGGAACATCAGCTGGAAAGTTGCCTTTAGAATAAAGACAAAGAACCTTCTGCAAGCCAGCCAAGGCAATACCAGGGCTTGGAGGTGGCGAGTTTGATAAACTAATCTGTAGGAAAAAGTTCCTGTCTTAGTGCTTAGACAGTTTTTGTTTGTTTGTTTGTTTGTTTTGGTAGAGACAGGGTCTTGCTACATTAATTCTTTGACTGGGGCTTGGTCTTCTTTTGCACAGGGCAGCTTGAGACTACAATCACTATGGCTTCCTCTCAAAACCAAGTCAGGGATTAGGCTCTAAGAATAACAATACAAGGGCCGGGCGCGGTCGCTCAAGCCTGTAATCCCAGCACTTTGGGAGGCCGAGACGGGTGGATCACGAGGTCAGGAGATCGAGACCATCCTGGCTAACACAGTGAAACCCCGTCTCTACTAAAAATACAAAAACTTAGCCGGGCGAGGTGGCAGGCGCCTGTAGTCCCAGCTACTCGGGAGGCTGAGGCAGGAGAATGGCGTGAACCCGGGAGGTGGAGCTTGCAGTGAGCTGAGATCCGGCCACTGCACTCCAGCCTGGGTGACAGAGCGAGACTCTGTCTCTAAAAAAAAAAAAAAAAAAGAATAACAATACAAGTACAAAAGACTGAAATTTTATTAAAGCCAAAGATTGAGAACTAGTTTCCAGACAGCTTCCGGCCAAGCATGCATAGGCTGTCGGCAGGAGTCCTGTAGAGTAACGGGACCTCTAGGGTCCAAGCTCTGAGCTTCTGGGCACATTTTAAGTGGGTCTCACTTTCTTGTCCAGTCTGGAATGCAGTCACATGATCACAGCTCACTACAGCCTGGAACCCTTGGGCTCAAGCAGTTCCAACATCAGCCTCCTGAGTAGTTGGGACTACAGGCACGTGCCACCTCAGCTAATTTTATTTATTTATTTATTTATTTAGAGACAGGGTCTCGTATGTTGACCAGGCTGGACTCAAAACTGCTGGGCTCAAGCAATCCTCGTGCCTCAGCCTCCTGAGTAGCTAGGATTACAGGCATGGGCCACCACTCCCGGCTTAAATAGCAGTTCTGTTTTTTGTTGAAAAAGTAGAAAATCATCATAAAAGATAATTTGGTGAATACAAAAAGAAGGAATCTGAGTCATAGTCTTACCACCTGAGATGTTGAAAATAGCTGATTTAAGGGGAATTGGGTTCTGTAGTGAGCTGGGGCCCAAAATTCACAGCCAGAGTGATAAGGAATCTAGTCAGTTTATAGGACAAAACTCCAGGACAGGCTGGGCATGGTGGCTCATGCCTGTAATCCCTGCACTTTGGGAGGGTGAGGCTGGTGGATTACCTGAGGTTAGGAGTTTGAGACCAGCCTGGCCAACATGATGAAACCCCGTCTCTACTAAAAATACCAAAAATTAGCTGGGTGTGGTGGCGGGCACCTGTAATCCCAGCTACTCAGGAGGCTGAGGAAGGAGAATCGCTTGAAGCCAGGAGGCAGAGGTTGCAGTGAGCCAAGATCGCACCACTGAACTCCAGCCTGGGCACCAAGAGCAAAACTCCATCTCAAGAAAACAAAAACAAAAACAAACTCTAGGATAAGCCTCCTGTGCTGGAGCAAAGGCCATGCTCACAATGAAAGGCGCATACCCACAGGCTGCACAAGCTCCAGACCTCCTAGATCCAGCGGTACAGGGGTGACAATGCACCTAGTATCTGACATTTACCTAGCATCTAATGGGTGCCAGATTGCCTGTTGGGCTCTGCGCCACAAATGAAACCGAAAAGGTCCACTTTTGCAGCCCTTTGCAGGGATGGACCCTGGTTGAATGGGATGATTGTGGGCACCTGTTTTGTGTAAATCTAAGTTAGTTGAAAAGCTTTCCTATCTTTCCTCCTTGGGCTTAGAGGGAAACCAGGGCAGGAATGAAGCAGTGAGAGCCTACTAAGTGCCAGATACTAATAGACATTCATTTTTCCACTGAATCCTCCAATAAAGTTTGAAGTAAGAATCATCCCCACTTTGCAAATGCCTACACTGAGGTAAAGTACACTCAATTTGAAGGACTATCTATCAGCTCACACCTACTAGTGACAATTCAACATTCTTACTATGAAAGTGTCAGAGGGAATGGAAAATGCAGCCCTAGAAGCATGAGATTTTGGTGCCAACTTTCATAGCAAAGCAAGAACTTTAGTCACTAGGTCCACACAGCTCAAGGTTGACCTCTTTACTGTTCATTGCCTCTCTGTCATATTAGGTGAGGACCAAGACCTGCCTCAGACCCCTAACAGCAACGTTCTCCAAGGCAAATGAGGCTGGAGGGGGCTACATTCAAGGATACTTTGGGTTCATTGGTTCATTAGTCTATAAGGCTGGGAAAGAAAGGACTTGGGTTAGGACCACTGGTTTATATTCTAAAGAGGCATCCCTGTCTGACACAACATCAAGGAAAAAAGCTCTAGCTCTAGTGTAGGTGAGAATAGGGGCTAAATAGTGTCAATGTCACTCATCCTCTCTCCATCTTTCTTTTCTGAGACAAGGTCTCACTCATTGGCCAGGCTGGAGTACAGCAGCTCTATCATGGCTCACTGCAACCTCAACCTCCTGGCCTCAAGCAATCCTCCCACCTCAGCCTCCCAAGTAGCTGGAACTACGTACAGGTGTGCATCACCATGCCTATTTTTTCAAATTGTTTTGTAGAGATGGGGTCTTACTATGTTACCTAGGCTGGTCTTGAACTCCTGGATTCAAGCGATCTTCCCACCTCCCAAAGTGCTGGGATTATAGGCATGGAGCCTCTGCACCCAGCCTCAATTTTTATTTTCTGTTCTTTGATTTCCAAGCAATCTGTTCAGATGATAGTCTTTTTACCCTATCTCCTCATTTGGTCTAGTGTGTGTAGATGAGCAGGGCTTCAGGCCCACATCCATCACTGATAGGAGCACATGCAGAGGACTCTGACCCTACTGCAGTCATTGTGAAAACCTTCCAAACCAAAATCAGAAGAGTAACCAACACCACCACCACCTAGCCCCAGGAGTCCTAACTTTAGAAAAGGCAGAGTGAGCTATGCGCAGCATGCATCTGTAATCCCAGCCACTCTGGAGGCTGAGGTGGGAAGATGGCTTGAGGCCAGAAGGTCAAGGCTGTAGTGCACTGTGACTGCACCTGTGAACAGCCATTGTACTCTAGCCTGGGCAACATACCAAGATCTTGTCTCTAACTTAGAAAAAAAAAAAAAAAGAACAGACAAAGTGAACTTTGGGGAAGAAACAATCTTGCCTGGCTTTTCCTTTTATATCTATATGTATATGTATGTATGTATATACACACACACACGCAGATACACATACCCAATGACAGTAGAGATTTTTTTTAAGGGTGCACTCTTTGTTGAATGAAGTTTCCATATGACCAAAAGTCTTCAATAAGTTCTAAAACGCTTGCCTCTGAAGATCTGTGTTTACTCTTATTCCTACAGAAAGTTATCCCTAAACTAGTTAAGAATGACAGCCATAACTAGATGTTTTAGGGCACACAGGTCTTAGATACCAGAAGCTGACAGTCTCCTTCCAGATATAAAGGGATACCCAGCAGGGATTCTTTAGAGCTGGAGAGCTGAGAAACACCAACTTATCTGACATTTAGGGTAACACAATTCTCATATTTTAGATGGGACAGTACGTATTTTACTACAGACTACAAAGCATCAGAGGATGGACAGTGACAGTTAGTATGATTCCTCTCATTGCCCATAGGTAGGCCACCGATCCAAATGGATCCTGAGTTCAGACAGAATCCTTACCTCCTGATAAGGTAGATTATCAGGTGAGCCACAGACTAAGGAATGTTTCAGAAAGCAGTTTTCTAGGCGTAGTTTGGTTTAAAAAAAAAAAAAAGTTCTCCTATTTATTACTTGTCCCTTCCTATGATCTCACTCTATCTTTACCCCAAGTCTTCAGCAAGACACTGTATATGAACTTCTATGTGATATGAGGTACTGTTTCAAGGCTGACAGTGGGCCATTTTACCTATACGACTATTGCTGAAATGCAAACATTTAGATTTCTTTGCCATTTTCTATTCCAGAAATAAAGGATGAAATTCTAAAATACTGGTTAATTTTATATGTGAGATAGCCACAGAAATTGTAAAACACGAGAAGAAAAGCAGTTTAAGTGAGGAAACAATGAGAGAAAACCTATTAGAAAATTGAAACAAAACTTGATTTTGATTAACTAGAGAAGTCTTCAAAAACAAACTAAAGGAGGCCAGGTTTAGTAGCTCCTGCCTGTATTCTTAGCACTTTGGGAGGCTGAGGCAAGAGAATCACTTGAGGCCAGTAGTCTGAGGCTGCAGTGAGCTATGATTGCACCACTGCACTCCAGCCTGGGTGACAGAGTGATAGACCCCGGCTCTGAAAAAACAAAAATAAATAAAAGCAATGGAAGGGAAATCATTCCACAATTTAAACTTGCTTTATGTAGTGCATGCATTCCTGAAAGGCTATTATTATTTTATCAGGGCATCATATCATATAAAGAAATGGAATTCATGAGAAACCAATGGAAATGCATTTTCTTCATAGCATCCTACTCAGACTAAGAAAATGCTTTTTTTTTTTTTTTTTTTTTTTAAGATGGAGTCTTGCTCTGCTGCCCAGGTTGGAGTGCAGTGGTGTAATCTTGGCTCACTGCAGCCTCTGCCTCCTGGGTTCCAGTGAGTCTCCTGCCCCAGCTTCCTGGGTAGCTGGGACTACAGGCACACACCACCACACCCAGCTAATTTTTGTATTTTTAGTAGAGGTGGAGTTTCACCATGTTGGCTGGGCTGGTCTCAAACTCCTGACCTTGTGATCTGACCACCTTGCCTCCCAAAGTGCTAGGATTGCAGGCGTGAGCCACCATGCCCGGATTGCAGGGTCCAACGTCTTATTTGCCACTATCGCTAGTACCAAGCACAGCGCCTGCCACTGTTGAGCGACCCCTCCTGTGATAAACTTACACTACTGCCTCCCAAATGAAGCCCCTCTCCCAGTATTTACGCCTAGACCTATTTACTTAATGGAGCGGACTAAACAAGAAAGAGGAGCAGAGAGGGGGTACAGAACAGACACTTAGTTGAGGAACATTAACAGCAAAATTTCAGAGCAAAGCAGGACTGCAACAAGCATTTCTTAAGAGGCTATGTGCAAGGTGGTTCCTCAAGTCTAGAAGACCCAAGCCTCAGGCTTCCTCCAGAAAAGCAGACTGGGAGACAGAATTTACAAATCAACTTGCTGACCGGACAAAGCCCTGGAATCCTGTGTCAATGCGTTTTAAACTAAGGCCAGATGCTTTTTGGTAGGCCGCCTCTTTCCATGAGCTGGTGGGTACTTCAAGTCTATGATTTGATTCTCATTTCTTAAAAAAGGATGAGTATGTATGGTAGTTGGGTATAGGTATGGTATAAATTTCAGGTGGAAATAGGAATTAAAGGATATGATTTGCCTTGGTGGGGGAAGAAAAAGGCCATAAAAGAGAATTGCACTTAAAGGTACATTGTCGAAAAATCTAAACTATAAAATTCATTACCTGCCATTACATCAACAACAAAAAGGCATTTTATTTTATCATTTTTATTTTTTTGAGAGTGTTTCACTTTTGTCACCAAGGATGGAGTGCAACGGTGCGATCTTGGCTCACTGCAACCTCCACCTCCCAGGTTCAAGCGATTCTTCTGCCTCAGCCTCCTGAGTAGCTGGGATTACAGATGTCTGCCACCACGCCCAGCTAATTTTTTTTGTATTTTTAGTAGAGACGGGGTTTCACCGTGTTGGCCAGGCTGGTCTCAAACTCCTAACCTCAGGTGATCCGCTCATCTCGGCCTCCCAAAGTGCTGGGATTATTACAGGTGTGAGCCACTGTGCCCAGCCCAAAAAGGCATTTTAAACAAAAATTCTGACATTTAAAAACTGAAAATATACCACGCCACTGCACTCCTGCCTAGGTGACAGAGCAAAACTCTGTCTCAAAAAAACAAAACGAAAAACAAAAAACCCTGAAAATATGAGGCCAGGAGTTCAAGGCTGCAATGAGCCAATACTGCACCTTTGTACTCCCGCCTGGGTGACAGAGACCTTGTTGGTAAGAAAAAAAAAAAACTGAAAATAGAAAAGAGGGCTTTTACAATGTTGATGAACTCATCTTAGAGTACATGATTTATAAATACATAAATATCCATGCATACTTTTACAGTGATAACTACTGGAAAAAATGAGAATGTTAAAAAAGCCAATCTAGACAGAGTCCTTCTCATTCCACCTGCCTCTTTATGTTGGTAATACCAGGAGTCTTAAGAGAGCTGCTGTGGTCTATGTCACATTCATCCCAGCCTCCTGTCTAATCCTGTAGCTGATGATGAAAATGTGATAAATCTTCTGGCTTAGCTTTGATGCTGGGAAAAAAAGAAAAGAAAAAGTTATATAACCACATAGTCCAGTGACTCAAATTCATCTTCATAAATTAAAATATAGCAGTGATGTAATATTTATGTACTATCCAGACAGTAAGTATACTCAGAAATTATTAATATTTTACAACATACAGAAAATTCAGCAAAACATTGACCACACCATCCATTTGGAAGCCAGAACTTGATTTTCCTGTCTTGTCACTTGCAATCTATAAATGTTCACAATTTAAGTGATAATGGAAATGCTTAAAATACTTTTCCTGGCATGCTTTGCAGTCAAAGGTTCTAAAAACAGTGTCACACAAACACTTATTGTTCTAAATTAAAAGCAGTCAATTCAGGTAGTAATTCACAACATTTCACATTGAGTCAGGATATTTAGATGTGAAGGTTATATATTTCTGGATTTCACACTATTAGAAACTGTAAAAGCATGTCTTCAAATAGTGGTGAAATGAAGCAGAGCTATTCTTTCTGGGTACTCTCTAGCACCTCTGGTAAATTTAAACTTGGCTTTAGACAACTTTTAAGCAGGGTGTGAAAAAATCACTTTGGCTGTCACCTTGTATTTGAATGAATTTCCTTAACATTTAGCAGTGCAAGTGAATCAATCGGAGAGTCTTTTTAGTAATCAGAGATTTCAAGGTATGACCTGTTTCCTAGGTAGGCCAGTCAGTGCTTTTTTTTTTTTTTTTTTTTTTTTTTTGAGATGGAGTCTCACTCTGTCACCCAGGCTGGAGTGCAGTGGCACAATCTCGGCTCACTGCAACCTCTGCTGCCCGGGTTTAAGCAATTCTCCTGCCTCAGCCTCCCAAGTAGCTGGGATTACAGGTGCCTGCCACTGCACCTGGCTAATTTTTGTAGTTTTTAGTAGAGACGGGGTTTCACCATCTTGGCCAGGCTGGTCTTGAACTCATGACCTCATGATCCACCCACGTCGGCTTCCCAAAGTGCTGGGATTAGAGGCGTGAGCCACTGCGCCCGGTCCCAGTCAGTCTTTTTGAGATGAAAAAAAAACAAAATTCCTCAGCAAAAGCAAATTATAAGAAGACTTTCATCATTTAGGGGAATGCCTAAAGTAACCATCTTAAGTCCAAAAAGAAAAAAATCCCCTAAGTCATCTCTCAAATGACAGGACAGACCAATGCTATGGAAGCACACAGCTGCTGCCGGTTTGGGCTGCTGTGAATACCGTCTTTTCCACAGGTGTTTGCAGGTGATCCACTACTGACTCATGAGCTCCAGACAAGACTGGTCTGTGGGATGAGACACACCTTTTCTGGCTTCTATTTCTAGTGGATAAAGAGTAAAAGACAAGTAGCTCCAATGAGCGTTTATCTTGGGGTACAACAAGACCTCTGATTTAACTAATCTGATGGCTGATTTTTTTTTTTAACTTTTCTTTGAGACAGGGTCTCACTCTGTCACCCAAGCTGGAGTGCAGTGGTACGATCATGGCTGACTGCAGCCTCAACCTCCCAGGCTCAAGTGATCCTCCCACCTCAGCCTCTTGAGTAGCTGGGACCATAGGCATGTGCCACCATGCCCAGATAGTTTTTATTTTATTTTTTGTTGCGACAAAAGTCTCACTATCCTACCCAGGCTGGTCTGGAACTCCTGGGCTCAAGCAATTCTCCCACCTCGGCTTTCCAAAGTGCTGGGATTACAGGCGGAGCCACCAGGCCAGGTTGATTTTTTTTTTTTTTACTCACCAACATTTGCACCATCTTAGAATCACAGCTGCTTCCACCAAGGAAGCGGCAGCTCTAGTACCTCAGAGCTTACCAAGATAACAAAATGCACAAAATCAGGCACACTTGTTTTTCTTACTTTTCTTTGAAATTTCTTTTTCTTTCTTTTTTTTTGAAACTGTCTCACCCCATCACCCAGGCTAGAGTACAGTGGTGCAATCTCGGCTCACTACAACCTCCACCTTCCAGGCTCAAGTGATTCTCCTGCCTCAGCTTCCACAGTAACTGGGACTACAGGCATGTACTACCACACCTGGCTAATTTTTGTATTTTTAGTAGATGGGGTTTTGTCATGTTGGCCAGGCTGATCTTGAACTCTGAACCTCAAATGATCTGCCCACCTCATCAGATTCTCAAAGTGCTGGGATTATAGGCATGAGCCAATGCACCTGGGCTTTCAAATTTCATAGTCACTTTTCTTTTTGTTTATTATTTTTTGTTTTGAGGCAAAGTCTCGCTCTGTTGCCCAGGCTGGAGTGCAGTGGTGTGATCTCTGCTCACTGCAACCTTTGCCTCCCAGGTTCCAGTGATTCTCCTGCCTCAGCCTCTTGAGTAGCTGGGATTACAGGCACGCACCACCACGCCCAGCTAAATTTTGTATTTTTAGTAGAGATGGGGGTTTCACCATGTTGGTCAGGCTGGTCTCGAACTCCTGACCTCATGATCTGCCTGCCTCGGCCTCCCATAGTGTTAGGATTACAGGTGTGAGCCACCACGCCTGGCCTTCATAGTCACTTTTCATACTGCCATTTTCCCTCTTGGGATAAAAATGTTCTCAGAAAAAACGGACCACATAATTAGGTTGACAGCTTCTTTGAGTCAGTAATGATAGCTTCCTAGTCAATCACTCCTTTCTCCTTAAGACATTACCTTGGACATATCAACTCTGACAGTCATAGCAATGACACCTTTCCTGAGTCAGCTGCTGCTCTTTGTTAATTATCGCTCATTAATTGGTAAGGTGAGCAACCACAAAGGCTGCTAGCAGGAGCCTAGGATGGCAGTTAGATAATCAAGATTGCTTACTCAATGTATGTGTGTTTCAATCCCCTTTCAAAAGAAAAAAAAAATCATATACTGCAACTGTCCAACAAATCCCACCTGTCAGAAACCAATGCTCATTTCTTTTCTCAGACTTAAAAAAAGAGCTGGACAGATTGCAGAGCTGTACTTGCCTCAAAGCTGCAGAATAGCCATAAAGTATTTTTAAAATCTTAAAGAGCCTGTGCCTCCAAATCATCTTCACTGTCTGTCTTGAGATACCAACAATGCCAGGAAATTTACTCCCACTTGGTAGCTAGCTTTAAAACTCAACTAAACTCTAATTTTTTAGCTAAAGATCAATTCTGGGCAGAACAACAACAGACGTTTTCAGGTGTATGGCTGGACATCAGGAGTATTTTGTCTATGGGCTGGCAATGTTGCCTAATGTTTATCAGCATCCTCTATCATGTGTGCAAAAACTGCAGGCAAAGGACAAAACTGCTCCAAAGTCCTCATGGCTCTCTTTCCAGTGGCCTTCAATGGAGAGGGGACAGCCTTCAATACCACACAAATTTGTCATGGTACACAGATCAGATGACTTGTTCTCAGAATGGGCTTATCTAGAAGTCTTAAAGACTCACCAGGCACAGTGACTCACACCAGCACTTTGGGAGGCTGAGGCAGTTGGATCATTTGAGACCAGCCTGGAGAACACAGCGAAACCTGGTCTCTACAAAACTTAACCAAGCATAGTGGCGCACACCTGTAGTCCCAGCTACTGGGAAGGCTAAGGTGCAAGGATCACTTGAGCCTGGGAGGTCAAGGCTGCAGTTAGCTGTGAGCAAGTCACTGCACTCCAGCCTGAGCAACAGGCAAAACTCTATGCACAAAACAAAACTGGCAAAACTCTATGCACCCACGAAGTATCTCACCTTTCAGAATCAGCTGAATTTCACTTACAGTGGCATCAACAGACTAAAGTTAAACCTGGCTACTTAGAAAAATATAGGTTTTATTTGAAGGAAGTTGCAACACACAATTCAAAAATGCTAGAGACTGGCTGGGCGCGGTGGCTCAAGCCTGTAATCCCAGCACTTTGGGAGGCTGAGATGGGTGGATCACGAGGTCAGGAGATCAAGACCATCCTGGCTAACGCGGTGAAACCCTGTCTCTACTAGAAAAAACACGAAAAACTAGCCGGGCGTAGTGGTGGGCGCCTGTAGTCCCAGCTGCTCGGGAGGCTGAGGCAGGAGAATGGTGTAAACCCGGGAGGCGGAGCTTGCAGTGAGCAGAGATCCAGCCACTGCACTCCAGCCTGGGTGACAGAGCGAGACTCTTGTCTCAAAAAACAAAAATAAAATAATATAAAAATGCTATAGAAGTATGGCCTCTGTACAGGTTTCTTCCACATAGCTAACTGCTAATGATTAGTAAGATGGCAGCACTGGTTTCAAGATGATAATTTCATGCCTGAGGACTCTTCTCTGTAGACTCACACTGTGCAATGACAGTGTCAAGAATGAACATCCCAGGGCAGGGGCTCTGTACATTTTTTAAGTATAAGACCCCTTTAGGATGTTTCAGAAAGATCCTAACACACACACACACACACACATTTCACACTGGTCTATAATGTTTGGGACGTGCCAAACCTCCTCAGTCTCCTACTGGGGTCTGCAGCCCAATGTCATTAGGTGTTCTGATCTCTAATACCCAACATGACTGGAAGGAGTTCAGATACCTTTCAGAAAACATATAAGACAGAGAAGTATAATGGAGAACTGATATAAAAAACCAGAAAACCTTTCCAGGCATGGTGGCTCACGCCTGTAATCCCAACACTTTGGGAGGCTGAAGTGGGCAGATCAACTGAAGTCAGGAGTTGGAGAACAGCTTGGCCAACATGGTGAAACCCCATCTCTACTAAAAATACAAAAAATAGCCGGGCGTGGTGGCAGGTGCCTGTAATCCCAGCCACTCGGGAGGCTGAGGCAAGGGATCACTTAAACTTGCGAGGCAGAGGTTGCAGTGAGCTGAACCATTGCACTCCAGCCTGGGCAACAAGAGCAAAACTCCGTCTCAAAAAAAAAAGGAAAATCAGAAAATCTCTTAGAAACAAAAAGGAAAGAATCTACCACAGCAGTTAAAAAATAAAGGCTCGGCCAGGTGCAGTGGCTCATGCCTGTAATCCTAGCACTTTGGGAGGGTGGGCAGATCACTTGAGGCCAGGAGTTCAAGACCAGCCTGGAAAACATGGCAAAACCATCTCTACTAAAAATACAAAAATTAGCTGGGTGTGGTAGTACCCGGCTGTAATCCCAGCTACTGAGGAGGCTGAGGTGCTAGAATCACTTGAGCCTTGGAGGCAGAGGTTGCAGTGAGCCGAGATCGTGCTGCTGCACTCCAGTCTGGGTGACAAAGTGAGACTCTGTCTAAAAAATAAATTAAAAATAAAGGCTCACCTCACTCCCTGCCTACCTCTGCCTCTGCCCCTGCCCCATAAGGTATACTCCAGCAGCCAGAAACTAGCTCCTCCCTGGCTGGGCCCCAAGAACCTCACTATAGGACACCCAAGGACTGCCCAATAAGTTTTTAAGTATTACCTGAGAAGATCCAAAAAGCCACAAACTCGCAATTCACATTGCCCCCTGGCTAAAAACAGTAGCCCCTTTGTAACAGCTGGTTTTACTTATTTATTTATTTTTTGTCAGGAGTACTGCATTGAGATAACAGCCAATTTTAAAAACATAATAGCATCTCAAAAACCAACCTGAAGCTTTTCCCCAGGTTCAGATTAAAACTAAAAGCATACTTTTTTAAGAAAAACAAACCATCCTGAAAATCAAGTGGGGTGTGCTGTTTGGGACTGAAATACTTTACGAGCAACTGAGGATTTGATTAGATCCTTGACACCCATTCGGAAGAGGACCTCTGTATGTGCCCCACCTCCCAAGACAAGACCTGAATGTGGAGGAATGGGCTTACCTATGTTTCTAAGGGCAGACCCAAAAAGGGACCAGTAGCTTTTTACTCTATTGCTTCAGTCGATTTTATAAGTATTTTCTGAGTACCTTCTCTGGGGTATAAGTATACTAGGTTTGGGAGTACTAAAGACTAAATAAAACTTTAGACACCATCTCTTCCCTCAAGGTCACAACTGCTTTAAAAGAGGTCTGGATAAAGTGCCAAAGGAATTTTGGAAGATAAGCGAGCAATTAATTCTGCTGCCTGAGCAGATAAATGTGAAACAAGTACATATTGGGGGTGATTCTGTAAAGTATTAATAGCTGGGATGCCCAGCTCCATACTCTGAGGTTCTTTCTGCCACACTCTCTATAGGCCCAGCTCCAGCATCCAGATTCAAGACTCTAGGCAAGACTCACTGTAAAAAATCCATCGCCTGAGATCAGACCCCACAGGATAGAGAACAGCTATGGTATCGACATTGCTCCAGCCACATTCCTATCAGCAAATCAGAGAAGCCAAACTAGTCAGGTCAGCACTCACGGCCAGGGTAAGGATGAGTTAGTTACTCTATTACCAACAAGATTTTTTAACAAGTAGGAAACAAGTATTCTAGCCAACATTTTTTTAAACATCAAGCAAAAATCTCAAAACAATGTTCCTAATCACCCAGAAGAAGTTAAGCTTATGTGTTACCTCATCAACAACGCATAATTTATCACAATGTGTTGTCAACTACTTATGAAAAGGTTATACCAATTATGGGGAAATAATAATGAAAAGGTATAGGTCTTTGGGGTAGTAAACAAGAGCACTCAAAAACAATACTCTAATATAGTGTCATCAAAGCAGGGACTGTTAACTCTACACCATTTCATCACATACACTTGGAAATCCTATTTACCTTTTTCATTAACTCACTTCTGGTAGTAAATTGTGGCAGGTCTTCCACTTCAATCCCATCGGCCATTTCCATCACCTTGTCTAAAAGGTCTTTATTGTAACTGCACAATAAAAAGTAATAAGGTAAAAACCTCGGAAGAATTGTCATTGTGAATTAATAAGAAACTGCAGGTTGCTCAACCATAAAATCAACTCTCAGAGAACTGATCTGATACTGCAGGGCAAACCTATACATGTTCAGCACAAGGTTTTGAGATGGAGTCTTGCTGTATCCCCCAGGCTGGAGTGCAGTGGTGTGATCTTGGCTCACTGCCACCTCCACCTCCCAGGTTCAAGCAATTCTCCTGCCTCAGCCTCCTGAGTAGCTGGGATTACAGGCATGTGCCACCATGCCCGGCTAATTTTAGTATTTTTAGTAGAGACAGGGTTTCACCATGTTGGCCAGGCTGGTCTCGAACTCCTGACCTCAAGTGATCTTCCTGCCTCGGTCTCCCAAAGTGCTGGGATTACTGGCTTGAGACACTGCGCCTGGTCCTGTGAACACTTCTTGCTTGTAGATACAGAAGTGGACTTTATAAATACCAGTAGAGCAAATGTTTCAAGATTTAGAAGAACAGAGGCACTGTACATCTAACAACAGATATTCTCAGATACGGGATGAGGGCCAAAATATTTTTGTTTATTTTTTAAATACATGGAATGTCAGTCTAACAAAAACATTATTTATTTGCCCAATTCTCTGACATTCGCCTAACCATGGAAAACCAGGATTTCCCAGGAGCACCTAGAAGGCAGGGAAAAGGGACGGGTGCCTCTGGCATTGGTTCCCTACGTACTGTTCTAATAAACCCCAATATGTGAAGCAAAACCAAGTGGCTTAGGCCTGGAGGGGCCAAATGACCAGAGTCAGGCAACCATAATAGGTATAGAAACCAAGATCAAACCAAGTCACCCTATTTTCCTAACACAATTTCAGGAAAATGGAGGCTCTCTAACAGGGAGTCTCAAGATTTGCCACCTTCCTCATGGAGGGGTGAAGGGAATGCCTTATCAGGCACTTCAAAAGCGAGTCTTTGTCCTTTTGGTGCAGCAGCCAGGATGAAGTGGGCTTTGGGACCTTGACAAAAAGGCATCGGTCATTTTCATAAGAGGGAAAACAAAGAGGTAAAGCTGGTTCCTACTTAGGACCCAGTGGGCTGTGGAGTGAGGACAAAAAGGCACAGGATACAGATTACATCCTGTCATTAGTGGTTAAAATCCATCAAACCTGCCAGAAGCTGCATGGTCCTAGTTACATCACTTCCCTCCCTAAGCTTTTTCATCTGTAAAATGGGGATCTCCGTTTCTGTCTCTGCACTTTGCCATGTAGGTGACAGAGGCTAACGGACTTCGAATGCACACTGCAAAGGTGATGGTTTGAGCTAATAATGGTAGTAATACATATAACAATAGCAACTTTTGAACCCGCCATGTATTTAGCTCTTCACCCTTTAATTATTACAGTCATCATAACCACCCTTTTACCAGAAGAGAAAACTGAGGCTCAAAGATAAGGATCGTTCCAAGGGGCCTTCAGGGTGGGAATCAGTCTTCGGGCCGGGCAATGCGGATGGAGGTTGGGAGCGGGTTCAGTCTGGGGCAGAGGTTCGGGTCAGGGGTGAGCCCTGGAAGAGGGCTTGAGGGTCGGAAGAGAGGGGACAGGATCAGCCGGCCGGCAGGGGTCCGCACCTGCAGCCTAGGAAGAGATGGTTGGCCCAGACCATGGAGAGGGACAGCAGCTGGTCCAGGCGGCCACCGCCGTCGGGCGGGTCGCGGTAGTCGGGCAGGTGGCGCAAGATGAATTCCATGCGGGCCTTCCATTGCTTCTCGCTCTCTGAGTAGGAGCGGAACTGCTCCGCGAAGTCGGCCGCCTGCCGCACCCCCGAGACCAGCTCCTCCACTGCAGCTGCCGCCTCGCCACCGACCATGGTGCCCGCTGCAGCCGAAGACCGGATAGCCCGCCGCCTTCCCGTCGCGCACTGCGCCACCACCTGCCAGCCAGAGGGGCCCCGTCAGCGCACGACTGCTCCAGAAGACCAGCCTGGAGCGCCCTCGCCCGGAGCGGCGGCCTGCGGGGGCACAGAGCGGCTCCTGGCTCCTCAGACCGCCGCAGCCCGCGGCGCATGCCCTGGGTCTACCCAGGGCTGCAAGGGCCCTTCGCGGTCGACCCTGCTGGGAACCGGTGGGAAAACTGAGGTCCCTAAGCACAGAGTCGGAGCGCCCTCTTCCAGTTGGCAGCTGGATGCCAGTCAGAGCTATGCTGTATCTTTCTTGCCCTGGGAGTTTCCCAGGCACCGCCTCATCCTAAGGGATATCAGGGGGCCCGGGTCAGGGATAGATAGGTCCACTTCCAGGGGTCTCCACAGCCACGCAGGTTGGGGCCCGCCTTCCTGGAGCGAGTAATCCATCCATCCGGTGAATACTTGCCAGGCACATTGCTAGGTGCTGGAGAGGCAATGAGAGCACACTCGGAGCCCTGCTCGCCTGAACTTTACCATCGAGTGGAGGAGCAGACATTAGTGAACTAATTGCTCAAGTAAGTGGAGAATTTCAGCGTTGACAAGTACTAGTAAAGAGAAGTCCAGCGTGCTACAACCATGAATAAGCAAGGAAGGGACCCAATCTAGTCTTGGGGTCAGGGAAGTGATCCTGGAGAACTGAAGAATGAGCAATTTTCTGAGAAAAGGGGAGTCGGTCAGAGCAAGAAAGAGCATGGCCTGGTAAGAGAATTGCAAGATACGGGGTAGGAGGGGCTGGGGGGCAGGGCAGGTAGAGAATGGAGAAGATGAGGTTGCAGAGGTCAGCAAGGCCAGTAGGCCAGGCAGGGATCCTGGCTAGATCCCAAGAATGGGGAGCCACTGAAGGATTTTAACCAGAACAGTGACACCTGGGTTTACAAAAGATGCTGGAAGGAGTCAGAAAGAATGTGTCCAGAGGAAATGAGCAAGTTTGGATTTGGTTTTAAATAGAGACAGGGTTTCGCCGTGTTGCCCAGGCTGAGTCTCGAACTCCTGAGCTCAAGTGATCTGTCTCAGCCTCCCAAAATGCTGGGATTACACGTGTGAGCCATCGCGACTGGCTAGTCCTGAAAGTTTCTATTTAGCTGGCATGACTCGGCTGTCTGTTCTAGGCTCAGGTAGCAGACACACTGAGAGACAAAAGAGCTTCCTTTAAAGTGGTGAATTCCCCATCCCTGGAAGCATTCAAGTACAGTAACTGGGTGTTGGGGCTCAGAAACCAATACCTCAAAATGTATTTTGACATGCTGAACTGATGAAGAAGCCTCAAGGTCTCTCTGACCTCACCCACCACCACACTCCTGTCTGTCAATTCTTTATTCCTCCCAAAGCCTAAGATGAAGTTGTTCCCTTATCTGCCTAAATTTAGTACAGAACACCAAAGGAAACAATTACCTCTGGTTCCCTCCCTGAGTTTTCATTAACTGAACTCGTTTTGCAGGAGGAAAGACTGAAGTATGTCAACACACCAGGACAGACTTTTGTCACAAACCCTTGACTCCTCTGCAGGCCCAACAGACTTTGTCCCAGGCCATTGCATGTTCTTCAAGCCCACTGAATTACCCTAAAAATCACAGGCTGGGCGCGGTGGCTCAAGCCTGTAATCCCAGCACTTTGGGAGGCCGAGACGGGCGGATCACGCGGTCAGGAGATCGAGACCATCCTGGCTAACACGGTGAAACCCCGTCTCTACTAAAAATACAAAAAACTAGCCGGGCGAGGTGGCGGGCGCCTGTAGTCCCAGCTACTCGGGAGGCTGAGGCAGGAGAATGGCGTAAACCCGGGAGGCGGAGCTTGCAGTGAGCTGAGATCCGGCCACTGCACTCCAGCCCAGGCTACAGAGCAAGACTCTGTCTCAAACAAACAAACAAACAAACAAACAAACAAACTAGCCGGGCGAGGTGGCGGGCGCCTGTAGTCCCAGCTACTCGGGAGGCTGAGGCAGGAGAATGGCGTAGACCCGGGAGGCGGAGCTTGCAGTGAGCTGAGATCCGGTCACTGCACTCCAGCCTGGGCAACAGAGTGAGACTCCATCTCAAAAAAAAAAAAAAAAAAAAAAAAAAAAGGCCGGGCGCGGTGGCTCAAGCCTGTAATCCCAGCACTTTGGGAGGCCGAGACGGGCGGATCACGAGGTCAGGAGATCGAGACCATCCTGGGTAACACAGTGAAACCCCGTCTCTACTAAAAATACAAAAACTTAGCCGGGCGAGGTGGCGGGCGCCTGTAGTCCCAGCTACTCGGGAGGCTGAGGCAGGAGAATGGCGTGAACCCGGGAGGCGGAGCTTGCAGTGAGCTGAGATCCGGCCACTGCACTCCAGCCTGGGTGACAGAGCGAGACTCCGTCTCCAAAAAAAAAAAGAACACTAAAGGATGTAAGATTTTACTCCTACTTTCAACCTAACAAGTATCCATACAACAATTTCAAAGGATACTGGCAAAAGACACAGATTCTGAGACAAAGAAAAGATCTTCATTACTCACAGCACAACAAGCAGCATGAGCTTCATGTTTGCCCTGCCTCCCCTTGTCCCCCAAGTCCCACAGGCGCTATGCCAAGGGGCACAGTTAGATGAGGTATACGAAGTGGGTTTGTTTCACAGCCGAAGAACCCCAAATTGAAAGGACATCAATAATTAATAAAGAAGAACTACAAGCATATTTGCCCAACCTTTTCTCCAGAGCAATTACTTTTATCTGGACAGTAAATACACCTGCCCTTTGCTCTGGAGATAGACACTATCTCCAGGCTGTTTCGAGGACAAACATCCTTAAAAAGATATAACTTTTTTTTTTTTTTTAATATCTTTAAAACATAGGCACAGGGTCTCACCGTTTTGCCCAGGTTGGTCCCAAACTTCTGACCTCAGGCAATCCTCCTGCCTCAGCCTCCCAAAGTGTTGAGATTACAGGCATGAGCCAACATGCTGGCCTTTGTTTAACTCTTAAGATGTACAAATAGGCTGGGCACAGTGGCTCACACCTGTAATCTCAGCACTTGGTGTTTTTTGGTGTTTTTTTGAGATGGAGTTTCACTCTTGTTGCCCAGGCTGGAATACAATGGCACAATCTTGGCTCACGGCAACCTCCGCCTCTCGGGTTCAACTGATTCTCCTGCCTCAATCTCCCAAGTAGCTGGGATTACAGGTGCATGCCAATACACCTGGCTAATCGGGGTTTTGCCATGTTGGCCAGGTTGGTCTCGAACTCCTGACCTCAGGTGTTCCACCCACCTCAGTCTCCCAAAGTGCTGGGATTATAGGCATGAGCCACAGTACCCGGCCAATCTCAGCATTTTGGGAAGCCAAAGTGAGAGGATTGCTTGAGTCCAGTAGTTCAAGACCAACTTGGGCCACATAGTGGGACCCTGTCTCTACAAAAACTAAAAAAGTAGCCAGGTGTGGTGTTACACGCCTATAGTCCCAGCTACTCAGGAAGCTGAGGTGGGAGGATTGCTTGAGACTGGGAGGTTGAGGCTGTGGGGAGCCATGATTGTGCCACTGCACTTTAGCCAGGGTGACAAAGTGAGAACCTGTCTCAAAAAAAAACAAGGCGGGGTAGGGGGGAGGAATAGCATTAGGAGATATACCTAATGCAAATGACGAGTTAATGGGTGCAGCACACCAACATGGTACATGTATACATATGTAACAAACCTGCATGTTGTGCACATGTACCCTAGAACTTAAAGTATAATAAAAAATAAAAAAATAAAATGAACTTAAGAACTCAAAAAAAAAGAAAAAAAAGGCCCAGCACGGTGGCTCACTCCTGTAATCCAAGCACTTTGGGAGGCCGAGGAGGGTTGATCACCTGAAATCGGGAGTTTGAGACCAGCCTGGCCAACATGGAGAAACCCTGTCTCTACTAAAAATACAAAAATTAGCCAGGCATGGTGGCAGACGCCTGGAATCACAGCTACTCCAGTGGCTGAGGCAGGAGAATCGCTTGAACCTGGGAGGCAGAGATTGCAGCGAGCCGAGATCATACCACTGCACTCCAGCCAGGGCGACAGAGCAAGACTCCATCTCAAAAAAAAAAAAGTGTGCAAATATATGAAAGGCCCATGGAGAACTGTCTCTCCACATAGGTTGAGATTCTTTTTTCTTTTTTTTTTTTTCATATGAGTATCTAATTGCTTCAGCAGAGTTTGTTGAAAAGACTATTCTTTCGCTCAATTGCCTTGGTAACTTTGTCAAAAATCAAGTAACCATATATATGTGTGAATCTATTTCTGGACTCTGTATTCTGTTCCACTGATCTATGTGTCCTTGCTTTTGCTAATACAATATTGTGGCATTTGTTATTGTTGTTGTTGTTGTTTGCTGTTTTTGAGATGGAGTTTCATTCTTGTTGCCCAGGCTGGAGTGCAATGGCGCTATCTTGGCTCACCGCAACCTCCTCCCGGCTTCGAGCGATTCTCCTGCCTCAGCCTCCCGGGTAGCTGGGATTACAGGCATGCGCCACCATGCCCGGCTAATTTTGTATTTTTAGTAGAAATGGGGTTTCACCATGTTGGTCAGGCCGGTCTTGAACTCCCGACCTCAGGTGATCCGCCAGCCTCGGCCTCCCAAAGTGCTGGGATTACAGGCATGAGCCACCATGCCCAGCCTGTTTTTGTTTTTGAGATAGAGTCTTACTCTGTCACCCAGGCTGGAGTGCAGTGGCATGATCTTGGCTTACTCCAACCTCTGCCTCCCAGGTTCAAGTAATTCTCCTTCCTCAGTCTTGCAAGTAGCTGTACAGACGTGCACCACCACAACTGGCTAATTTTTGTTGTTGTTGTTGTTGTTAGAGATGGTGTTTCTCCATGTTGGTCAGGCTGGTCTCGAACCCCTGACCTCAAGTGATCCACCTACCTCCTCAGCCTCCCAAAGTGCTGGGATTTCAGGCATGAGCCACCACACCCAACCCATACTGTGTTGATTACTACAGCTCATGAGTTTGCAAATGTAAAGGGTGGGCTACATATAATTCCTGCTACATACATGTTTGGTTT